GGAACATTACACAAAGAAATTTATAAAACTTTACTGATTCTTCTGTATCAGTCTCTCCTTCAGATTAGGGGTACAAGCAGTATTTTATGAATGTCGTTAGTTTGTGCTCTTATGCTGTAAAATGCAAATATCCCTAGAGAACAAGAACCTTCCCATGAAAAGGGCTTTACTCTAAGGAGTCCTTAACTATAAAAATGCTTCTTCTCTGTAAGGCATTTGCGAAATATGTGATGGGTTTTATGCACTTCATCTAGTTACTCTATTCTGCTCTGCCAAAATACACTTCAAAACAAGTTTTGTGTGTATCAACATGTGGAAAATCCAGCATAGGTTTACAGCATGGCCCCATGCTTGAGGTACTAGAAGAAATAAAAAACATTCCTCCAAAACCTTTTTATTTGTCATTGAAATGTGAAGCTTTGTTGGTGTAGAAAATGCAGGGGGAAGATTAATTTAGCAAGAAAATTTCACTTCTCAGAATGGAAACCCTAGCTGACATTCAGGCTGTGCCTGCCTTTTGTTTTTAATTGTCCTGTGTCATGTAGTCCAGCGTGTGTTTATGTCAGTCACATTTCTTTGTATGCGGTGTTAGAGCACAAAGGTTTGAGTTGCCCAGTAAAAGCGTGTGTGTGGTCATGACAGAAGAGTCACTCTGTCCTATTTACAGCTCACTTCAGACTCTTACTTCCAACAAACAGCTCTTCAGCTTCATGGATATGCAGCTTCATGTACCTGCATGGTACAAAATGGGAAAAGCCAGCAGCACAGTTGCCAAGAATTCCACTGGGGCTCTGTTTCCTGTAACAACAAAGTACCAAGCAGTTTTTCCGGACAATTACTGGAATGAAATTATTTAGCTAAATCAGTGGTGTTGTGGTTCTGAGAGTTAGGGATTTTCTTTTCCCAGTTCTTTCTTCATCTTTGCAGTGACGTTTGTGTTCAGTGTTCTTTTGTTAGTGTGTTGTGTAGCCAACTCTATGACCAGATAGGTTGTTTGTTTTTGTTTTTGTTTTTTTTTTCCACAGTGTGCTTTGCTGTTATCAGTCAGTATCTGCTTTTATAGGGCAAATCATGTTCACACCGCACGAGGGAATAACACAGTTAAGGCTGTTGTGACTCACAAACACAAGATTTATCTCACTATCCTCACTTATCTGTTTTGTTTCATATAGAATGTTAGAACAAGCGCAGGACTGCGGGCACCAAATAATTAAAGGCCTTATGATACCATTGGGGGACATGTGATGAAGTGCCCTTGTTTGGAATGGCTAGACCAGAGTAATTATGTTAACAGGAAATATTTCTGTAAGCAGTACAAAGTAGTGGATCTTGGTTTCCAGTGAGTAGTTCTTGCAGATCTGATTTACTGTTTAGTTGAATTACACCAAGTCTGCAGCGTGAGCTCTGCTCTTAGAGTACGCTGAAAATACACTTGGGTGGGGAGTGGATTCTCTGATATCAGGCTATAACAGATGTCTCACTGCAGCCTTTTTATCAATCAAGGGACGCTCTGCTCATGGACTTGCTCCCAAGTTACTGTTCTGATTGCCCATAGGGGAGTGTAATATTTTGAAGACAACTACGTTCTGTCAAAGTTGGCCAAAATTGACCAATGAAATAAAAAAAAAGGTAGCTGCTGGAGATGCAGACGTGGTGTAGAAAATTTTATACCATCAGATTAAAAGTAGGTCATTGTAGCTACTCCACTAACCAATTTAATTACAGTCATTAAACTTTGTTTCCTGTTTTATGTGTGTCTCACTCCCATTCAGGTAAATCTTTTCTTTTCCTGGGCATGGGCTATTTCCTTTCTGCTTCTTTCTTTAATCTCCAGGATATCCTCCTCTGTAAAGAAGATTGTCACCCCCACACTAGTACTTATGCCAGCAGGAGAGGCAGGAACCACCTTCAGAGATCAGCAGGCACAGCCCAAGAGTGCTAGGAGGGACTGATGACATGTCCTGCCTCCTCTGTGTAGCTGCACTGATGTCATGGCAGCTCTGCAGTTCTTGTGCAAGTTAATGCCATCAGCCTTAGTCCAGTGCTGTTACGTTGTTATGTAAGAGGTAACGATGCATCATCTGAAAAGCTTTTGACCCGCAGCAGGTCGTTTGTGCCTGGCGAATGTATCATGCTGTTTTCGCATAGCAAATAATTACAGGCGTGCATAATAGGATAGGAAATGCTGGAGGAACAGAGTTGTGCGCCAGAGAGTTCTGGGCACAATATTCTGGGATCAGGAAGGACTAGATCAGGCGTTTACAGAAGTTCTCCCTGTTTTGAAACATTGAGAAACCAGCTAAGGTGCATTACCAGCTTTCTTTGCTGCTGGAAGTGGGAGCTCTGCACCTTTCTGAGGGATGGACTGTGTTTTCTAAGAACACCTCTGGAAGGGCCATGGAGGGGAGAAGTATCTTTCTCCCCATTTTGCAGAGGGCAAGGCAAGTAGAAAAGTTTCACATTTGCCTTATGTAATAGCCCAGGTCAAAAGGTCCCCTTCACCTCCAGGAGGAGAAGGGGTTAAATGCATGTCTCAGGGATGGGAGCTGATGCAAGGAAGGGGGAGCTGTGAGACTTTGCTCCAGGTAATGAGAAAAGGGGGGACAGGGAGTAGGGAGTAGACAGAGGAGTGGGCTGTGCAGCTACATCCCTCCAGCTGACTTGTGGTCTCTGTTCAGGATTTTCACATTCTGCCTAGGGAGGTCCTGATGGGAATAAAGATGCATGTCTTGGGCGGATTTGACATAAGAGAATCAACTCATCGGGAACAGGAAGCCTTCCCCTGCACTGTGCCACTGAGCTGTTGTGCACAGTCATTTATCTGTGATTCCTGGGCAAACACTCTCACTTAAACAGTGCTAGTGGGGCTGGGGAAACTCTAAACTGCCTTAGTCCTCCTCCAGTAATTATCTGACTGAGCACCCTGCTGTGAATTAGCACTTGACTGGGAATTAGCACTTGCTGTGCCTGTCTGCTGTAGAATGCCCCATATCCTCCTCCCTGCTGGTTATTGCAAAATAAGGGCTCAGTTCCCAATTGCCTTCTCTCCCAGGCTCTCTGTACATGCCTGCATTTGGCCTGGTCATTGTTTTCCCGGCATGCCTCTTTGTGCCTCTGGAGTCTTGAATGGGAGCTTGTTCTGGCCTTTGGGAAGGACAGGCAGGATTCCCTTGTTTGATCCTTGCTCTTTTCCCTCTTTGTGCGAGGAAGAGCATTTGGTTTGGTCACACTTTTTAGCTTCAATTGCCCACATGTCATAATCTTCTCACTTAATCTCCTCTCTGTAACAGTTGCCAAACCGAACAGCTATGACTGATGTTACTGTGTGTGCTTAGAAAAGGAAACATTGACTCATTGGGTTTGTTATTCTTGCTTTTTTTCATTGGTACCAAACTCAGCAAGTTGCCAGGAAGTGTGGTAGTTCGTATGCTCACTTTGTAGAATTAAGAAAGGAGTCTTGGGTATGTAATATTGTTGATTTAGGGTAAAAAATTGTGTTTGGCACCACAGAAGATTGTCTGGTCTGTGATTGCTGGCCTTCTCTCCCCGAAGCAACCCAGCTGTGATGGAGATTTTGCAGGTCAAGGCCCTTACCCAGGCAGCACATGGACCATGGGACACTTGAGTCATAACATAACAACTGCCATCAAAATATGGAAACTGAAACTAGCAGGTAACACAACACAAGTATTCAGAGAAACACACTGGTAAGCCTAGTTTCAGCCTTCTCTTAATACTTTACCATGTTTCTCTCTCTGTGGCTTTGTTAAGGTTTGCTTTGTTTCAAATGGAAAAGAATAGGGGATCACATCAGAACCATTTTCTAACAATACCTCGATACATAGGGAAGGATGGTCCATTTGATTAATTCAGGCACCTACTTCAGCCATGCCAATTTAGTTCTTTTGGGAGTGAAAGAAAGGAAAGAGAAAGGAGATGTAATAATCTGACCTAGTCACATTAGATTTCAAAAATTTGTAAGTTTTTATTTACAACTTAATTTCATTGTGGTTCATCTTGAACTATAACAAAAGCACTGAAGTGTAACAGCAAATTTTCTAAAGATTCGGTACTTTGGGTGTTGTGCTTGCTTGAAAATTTGGCTGTACTGCTGCAGATGGAATTCTGAACAACCTTTGAACAGGATGCTTAGTAAGTTCCCTATGTGGTTTCTGTGTGGTTTTTTTTTTTTTTTTTTTTTTTTTTTTTTCTTTTTTAATGATTGTTCCCAGATTAGTGTTTGAAAGTTTAGATCCCCAGGCATGGTTATTTAGTAAAGTGTTTTAGGCTTTTAATTAGTTTTACTTACAGAAAGATCTTCTATGAGTGCTAGGTATAACTCCTCCTTGTCCTAAGCAAGAGAGGTGGTGCAAGGTATGTTTATCCAGCCAGGGATGTTGTAACAGAGCTTAAAATAAAGTAGTGTCCTCTTACATGTTGGGTTCTGAGAATGGGATGAGAGGGGTTTCTCATGCTAAAACCAGGCTCCAGTACTACATCTTTTAGTAACTCCTATGCATTAAAAATACACTCCAGTGCCAGAGAATCAAGAATGCATCATTTTTTGATTCCTTGACCCCTGCCTACTCTGTCTTTAAAGTCTCCCTGAAATGGAAAAGTTGTTATATCTTTTTACTCTGCAGCCTGGAAGGAAGATCTAGGAGAGGATTTCGAGAGGGAAAATCACGTGTCATTGGAACCTCCCTCAGGGTCACAAGATATTTTGCATGAAATGCCAGCCTGAGCTGGGCTGTACAGCTGACTGTGTTGTATCTACAGCAAAAATTGCTTTCTGAGGTTTGCTCAGTAGTTTTGAAAGATATAACTGAAGAAATAACTGAAATGGAAATTGAAATCTAGAAGGAAATAGAAAAGGAGGTTCCTGGAAAGGAGTTGGCCTTGTAATTCATTACTAAACGGGATCTAAAATGCCAAAGCACCTCTCTGCTGCTCATTTGAGCTGCTAAAAGCTTTCATTTAATTTTTGATTTTTACAATTGCAGGTGTTACAGAGAGAAGTAATCAGCATCAACCCAGTGGTCGTCAAGGATATGAACTCTGCTGTTTTTATCTAGATGGATGAAAAGGTTAACAGCCCAGAAGGGGAGTTCCTTTTGTTTTCAAGATGGCAGCAACTAGTGGCGAAAGCCAACTGCAGCGGATTATCAGAGACTTGCAAGGTACAGTGCCATGCTGGCAGAGACATCCTGTGGGCTGGACTGCATCCTCCATCTTTTAGATAACACAGAATAGGAGTTGGTGTTTTCAGTTGTTACTCTTTTGTGCAGCCATTACAGCAACATAATCCTAGGTGTGTGATGTGACTGACATTTCTTTGTGAGACAAGTGCTGTACCTTCTGCAGGACCCTAAATTCCTAAATCCTGCAGATTTAAACATACAAGATAAGAAACAAGAAATATTTTTCATGCAAGATAAGAAATAACCTTTAAATATGCTTTAAAAAAAGGTGTCAATGGAGTGTGCATTGTGAGCTAGAACTTTGATGGCAGGCACAGAACTATGCTGTTACAAGACTTCATGTGAGATAAGGCCTGATTTTTAGACCCTTCCTTGATGGGAAGCTGGTGTGGAGTTGCTGCTAATATGGGAAGGAAAAGAAACAGAAAGGCAAACCAAACTGGGAAGGGAGATCAGAGGAGCAGTGCTGGAGAACTGAACCTGCTGTTTGTGCTGCAGTGGAACCTAACTTATCCTCCACTAGAAGCAGCCAACCTCATTTTCAACAGTTCTGTTGGAGGCAGAATTGGCAGCAGATTCTTAACAGTTTTCCTGCTCTCTGTCTTAATCAGCTGTTTATACAAAGATTTTATTCCTTTAAATTTTTATTAATATATGTGCACCAAAACTGGGAACCTAGATCTTCCTGTAATATAAAAAAATGAGATCTGTATGCCTGCTTAACAGGAAGAGATCTTAATTTGCAAAGGGGATTGAGTGGGACTGGGAGCTGAGGCTCACTCAGTCACCTGAATTAAGCAGAAACTCAAGTGGAAAGCAAATTCAAAATCAGTAATTTCCAATGCTGAGAAGTACACCCCTTAGGGGCTAGGGTGTCCAGGGGGACAACAGCTTTTGGTTTGACTTGAGATTTCCTCACTCACTACGGCTGTGCATTTGAGGGAAGAGGAGTTGCTGTATGCTTTTTTTATGTAAATTATTTTCCCCATCTGTGTTTGTAACCAGCACAAGCTGAACCTTCCTGAATAAAGCATGGAGAAGATAAATGTGCTGACCAAATGACTGTTCTTGTGTTACTGATCCCCTTTAGCAGATTACATGCTTTGTCCTTTCTAATCAGAATTCTGTTTGTTCTGTGGCAATACCTTAATGTGCACATGAGACAGCAAAAAGTTATTTCTCTTTCCTCTGCTGAGGTAGCAGTTAGCAGTTATCTGTTACCAATTTTTGCTACATGTCAGAAGTCCTAAGTGTTTTTTTAAGAAGTAGTCCACACAACAGATTAACGTAGATTGAGCTCTAGTTTTCTTATAGGTGGTTTTAAATTGCAAGCATATCAGTGTTTTTTTGCCCTGTCGTTAAGACTTTTCAGCTTAAAGAAACTGAATACATGTGCATAATGTCCATGAAGAAACCATTTATTTAGTTCTTTATGGATTCAGTGCTATGTAGTTTGCATTAGTTAACTGTTTTCGTGTCTTGTTTTACAGATGCTGTGACTGAGTTAAGTAAAGAATTTAAAGAAGGAGGGGAACCGATCACAGATGACAGTGTCAACTTGCAAAAATTCTCCTACAAGCTTGAGTACCTTCTACAGGTAAAAAATGATGTGTGTTGTTTGTAATCCACCAGTAAAGCTTGGCCTTGTTTTCTCTTACTGCCTGTTCAATATGTGGGGTTTAACTCAAATAATCATAAATGTCTGATTGAGTCTCTCTTTCTATTTTTTTATTTTTGCGTGTGTGTGGTAAGTGGACTGAAATGCGTGCTGCTTATTGTACTTATTTCAAGTGAAAATAAATAAATATAATTGAAAGGAAGAGCTGGCAGTTTGATTGAAGAATGTAAGGCATTTCTTTATTGATCTGAAAGATCTGAGCTTGATTTTAGAGATATGTCCTACTAAGTTATCCTGGAAAAACTGTGGTAATGAGATCTTGACAACATTTTGATGCAAAATAAATACTAGTGAGCTGTTCATGGTGCAAATATAGTAGAGTGAGTAATTTACATATTTTTTTGCAATTTCACATCAGAAATTCTTTTTTTTCCTTTTTTATTGTATGGAAGGCTTAATGCAAAAGGCTGTTTTTTAATCTGGAATGCTATTTTTTTTTCCATCCTCAAAATATAAGTAGAAGAGGACATTACTGGGCAAACTGAAATTCAGTTTGCATGGTCTTGTGTCCACATATGCTGTAATCATGTCACTGATTGCAACAAAGACATACTAATCTAGTTTTAATCTAGGCAAGGGAGTTTTAATTGGGTTGCAGAGGCTTCAGCAGAAGCTGAAGAATCCTTTGGGATTTGAGTGGCCCAAGCTGCAACTGATTGTTAGTTCGTTGCTCTTGAACAGCTGCTGAATTTGCTGTAATTTCGGCAGCTTTGAAAGGGTGTCTGTATTTTAAAGAGACTCAGAACATTATTATCTGTTACTGCCTGTAAAGTAGCTTTTGTAACTGCTGGATTGCATCAGTACAATGCAATGTCTCCTTCCTTTGTGGATACACTGGGTAAAGCTAAGGGGAGTCATGAAAGCACACATTACTGGGAGAGGAACAGCATTCCAAGTAGTTATATATAAATACATTTATATTTAAGTTTTGCTCATTGCATTTTGTTGTCCTCATTTAAGTTTGACCAGAAAGAGAAAAGCACATTGCTGGGCAACAGAAAAGACTACTGGGATTATTTCTGTGACTGTCTGGCAAAAATCAAAGGAGCTAATGATGGAATCCGCTTTGTCAAGTCTATTACGGAAGTAAGTATATCAGCTAAGTATTGTAATATGTGGTTTATGCTTTGGTAGGTCTTTTCAGAGAGCAGTAGAAACAAACTGAAAAAAATCCACTGCTTTTAACACATAGCAAAAAAAAATAGGGGATTTTTTTTTTGTTAATTCTCATGTAAAGTATAAAAATGCAAAGTTACCTTTTCTACTAGAGCACTAAATTATATAGGATTAGATAGCTGGACTCCTTTTTCAAAGGACACTTAAAACTGAATGTGCCCTGCTTTTTCATAAACTTAGTGCCATTTTTTCTAAAAAGAAGTGAAAAATTAAGTCAAGGGTAGAGCCTGCTGTCTTTAGCACAGCTTACAGCAGGACTTGGCTCTAAGAATAAGATGAAAGGTTCACCGTATTTGACATTTCTTAAGACTTCTTCATCTGGTCTGTAGAGTTGAGGAGGACTGACTGAGGGCAGCAGTTTCACCTTCCGTCTCAACTTTGTTCCTCTGTGTGAAACAGCGTGATGAAATGACTTGGAGTGGTTGTCTTTATTACCTCGGTTAAGCTGTAATGAACAGCACAAAAAGCCTTGTTTCTGTTATATATAGTGATAAAAGCCTAATCTTGTAAAAGCCATGTTATGCCTTCAGCTCTATGAGTGGGTGAAATAAATACTGTGAGAAGCTTTCTGCGTTGATCCTGTCTGAGTCCCTGGAATCATTTGAAGATTTTCCTTGGGGGTAGAGGAGGCAGTGGTGTGGTGGTGCCGGCCGGCATTGTCCTGATGCTCGGTACCATTATCTGTGAGCAGGGCTAGCTTGTGTTGGCAAGTTACTATTTACAGCAGATTTCCCTATTCTCTTAGCAATTTCTCCACAGCAGCTCTAGATAATGTTTTTTTGGTCCATCTGAATAAAAACCATGATACTGTAGCAGAGGCAGGCCCTGAGTTCTCTACCTTACTTTCTTCTCCCTGCAACTTCAACAGTGTTGAATTTTGCAGTTCCAAGGTGAACAATCCAAGGGTGGGCCCTGGTTTGTTTTACCACTGGGAAGGAAAAGAGGGAAGAGACAGGGAAATTTGATTTGAATTTCCCATTACTTCCAGGAAGACTGGTGAAGTAAGGACAGTAACTGCTGATGCAGGGAAGATCCTCTGACTATAGGAAGTGTTCCCTAAATTCTCAGTAGCAGTAGACAATCTGTTTTCTCCGCAAAGGTGATTGTGCCATAGTCTTCCACAGTCTGTTGCCTGTGGTATCACCTGCATATTACCACATGTAAAGACTGCTCTGGTTTCTCCTCCTTCAGTAGCTCTGGCTGCTTGATTGTTAGCACAATATCAGAAGTTATTGTTTGGAAGTAGGATATTTTCTATTTCAGATTATGTGCAACAATATGTCTTGTGGAAGACTTCTTTTAATTTTAGCTTTATTAACTTGTGGTTTAGGAATATGAACACTTAAAATAAGAATCAGTCAACCATTTCAAATAACTGAGTTGGCAGACTTGGCTCCATGACACAAAAAGATGTTTGTTATTTCCCTTCATGACAGGTAGAAATCATCAGTCAGTCTTTGAACCTGGCTGTGTAGAACACAAAGGTTTCCAAATGTAATTTATTTGCTCACTGAACAAGAATTTGACTTTTAAAGGTGGAAGTGAACAAAAAGGAAAGAGCAATGGCAGTTAATTTTAGGAACAGTCAAACATTTAACAGCATAATGCCTCCCCTTCTGCTCTGCCTTTAGTACTTCTAATATTAGGGTGCATGATATGCTAGAGAGGTGGAGAAAGAAGGCAAATGAGAATACCCTGGAAACTGTTATCTGTTAATTACAGAGGGCTTTATTCTCTATGGCAGTAGGTGAGCAGTGAGTTCTGGTCATTCCCCTTTTCCTTTCAAAAGGTGATTACACTGAATGCACACCTTTCCAAACCTTGACAGCCATACATTGCATCTTAGTTACAGTGTTTGCTGTCTACATGGAAACACTGCCAAAGCCAGACGCTGCCTGCCTCCCTGATTGCTAGCAGGGCTCTAGCAGGTGGTTGGCATGGTTTTGTTTCCTGGTCAAATAGTCTTTGGCTATTCGTAGCTTCATATGCATTTTCCTCTACTCCTTATCAGGTACATGCATTTGTTCTGGTATCTCCATGTTTAGAAAAGGCTTTGCAATTTAAAATGATAAACCAATGGGAGGAAGGATAGGATTAATTCTGTGGCTTCTAGTGTTTTTTTGTTTTGTTTTGGGTTTTTTTGACAGTTCTTAATGTATTCACTAAATATGCCTAGTTAGGAAAAAAAACACTTATAAGCTTCTGTGCACAGGGTGGGCGTTGCATCTCCCTGAAGAAATTTTCAGACATCTCCAAGGTGAATGAAGGTGAAAACCAGTTGGGAAAATAAATTTGCTGTTTCTGGGGTACTTAGTGTTTGGGGACTGTGGTATTTTGCACTTTCTATCCTAGAGAATTCAAAGCAAAAAGCACGAAAAACTGTTGCTTTCTTTGCTCCACATTGCATTTATGTTCCTTTTATAAAGAACATTTTTGTAGTGGATTACTGAGCTATATGAGGAACCTGTGTCTTACTTCAGAGCATAAGCCCAGTAACAGCAAAAACAGGGAAGCTGAGAGTTTCAGGTATTGCTCTCACTTCACCACAGTGGAATATTGATCAGCAGGAGAGGAAGCTTGTGTGGCCTTTGAGCCTTCTTTTACACTAACTTTTCAAGTGAAGCTTACGGTAACATACCAACTTGTGCCTCAACACCTCTAATATTTGTCTTGGCTTCTATTTTAAATAATGAATTTATTTGCATTGTTAGTTGGATGAGTAGTTTGGTGAGAAATTCTTTCATGATGTTACATTTCCTTTCCTAAATTGATGACTGATTTTGATGGAAAGAGAAAGTGAAACACTGCTATTTGGAGTTTCAGCATTTTGCAGGACAGAAAATGGTTCAGTTGTAAAAGACAAAACAAAATATCAATCCCCCAAGTCAACAGCGATAACAAAATTCAGTGCTGAGTTTTGTGATTTATGTTGATTTAACAGCTGTCTTCCTAAAAAGATCCCTCAGTTTCAGTCATGCAGCTGCTCTTGGTCTGAAGTAAGAATTAGATTTTATTCAACTTAACTGCCAAGTATTAAGAAAGGCTTTTTGCATCATCTGGGGTCACTGTGTCCATGGGGATGTATATTTGTATATGTGTACATCTTTGTTCTATGACTAGACCTGTCCTAAAGCTCTTCCAGCTGTGGCTATGCACATCCTAAGTATTGTTAAGCAGCCACTGTGTAGACTGTTCTGGCCATGTTTCTACATGATTACAAATGATATTTAGAATTTTCTTTTCTTGTGGTTTCTCCCTTCCAGCTACGAACATCTCTTGGAAAAGGAAGAGCATTTCTTCGTTACTCCCTGGTTCACCAAAGACTCGCAGACACTTTGCAGCAATGTTTTATGAACACCAAGGTGACCAGGTGAATAGCAAAGTACCTTGTTAATTTGGGTGTTTGCTCAGTATGATCTAGCAACATCACCTAGTAGCTATTGAAAGAAGTTGAAACCCTTCCAAATGGTTGGCTTAGACAGGTGGTAATAGGATATGAAGGTTAAGAGACCTTTTGGCCTAGGTCACTGGTTCGTATCTATCTTGGTCTTGTAAAGATTGAAAGTTATTACAGCTAAATGTGTGTGGAGTGGGTGGTACTGGTGCTTCCGTTCGTTGGTGTTGAAGGTGATGTTTTCATAAGTATGGAAGATCCTGGGTTTGATCAGCTGCACATCATGGGGGAGGATTAATTTGGATGTGTTGCACAAAGCCCCAGAATGCATTTCCTTACATCTCTGGATTGTCATACAGAGGAACAACTTGCCCCTCTCCAGGGAGAACACCAAAGGTAGCTTGTAGTTGTTTGGAGGGACACTGCTAAGGCATTTAGAAAAATCCAGCTATTTTCACAGTATATTTAACTCTGGATGCTGCTTTCTGTCCCTCATTTTTGATGTATTAAGTGAGTGCTTTAGGTATTTACCCTGTGATTTTCTAGTGTATAGCAAATATGTTGTATTGTCAGTGATTTGCCCAGGCACTAGAGGAAAAAGTCTTTCGTGCAGGGGCTCCTCTAAAGATATTTATGTGGAATTAATTAAAGTTGTTTAATTTCATTTACATCAAAGGGATGGGATGTAGTTTGGTGGATCTAGTTGCTTTCAGTTTGTATTTAGAATAGTGAATCCTAATTTTTCTGGAGTGAAGTAAATAATGATGTTGTTGAGTTTTTTTGCTGCTTCTCCTTTGCTTATGAATGAGTATTACTTCTTTTTTGTTTGTTTGTTTTCAAGTGACTGGTACTATGCAAGAAGTCCATTTCTGAATTCCAAAATGAGTTCTGACATTGTGGGTCAGCTCTATGAGCTCACTGATGTTCAGTTTGACTTGGCATCAAGAGGCTACGATTTAGATGCTGCTTGGCCAGCATTTGCCAGGTAAGATAGAACTACTTTGTCATTTTGTATTAACAGGGCCGTAAACCACCTACCTGCTAAAGAACCTGTAAAAGTTTATGCTTTTGAAGGTAGCAATAATTATGTTAGAACAGGTATATACTTTTTCCATGTAATTATTCTATGAACAAATTTGCCTATTTTTCCTTCTAGTATACTGTGTCCCAGCGATCAGAGATGATGCTCTGTAATACAGTACTTTCAGTAACTGCAGTTTAGGTCCAAATCCCAAACTATTCTCATCTATACAGGCACAAGAAGAAATGTTCTTGGCTTCTGTTTAAAGAGCTGAGACAAGCAGTGTGCTTCACTTGTGGCAATGGTGATCCCACTAGACTTGAGGAATAATAAAAACTACTAGGTCTGGTCCAGATCCATTTGTATCCGTGAGAATTTTCTAGGGCCACTTGCTGCCACCACCTGGTTGAGCTGCTGCCACACAGCAATATAATTCCTTAGAGTAAGACTGCATTGATTCTTGTGGATGTGGGAAGTCATGGCTACCAGCCCCATAATCTTTTATAGATGCCTTCGATATCCCTATTTTATTTTTCATCAACTTCAGTGGTTGTTGCCCAAGGCAGCAGATGCAGTTATGTCTTTTTACATGTGATAGATACCGGTAGATAAATCTTACATATGGGAGTAGAAGGACATGTATATATGTGCTTAGAGTTATATATTGTTTCTCTGTGTGATCAACAGAAGGACACTGTCCTCGCTTGGATCTTCAGCATATTTATGGAAGCCACCAAGTCGCAGTTCCAGCATGAGCAGTTTAGTGAGCAACTATTTGCAGGTAAGCAGATTGGAAATAAATATTTATGTGGTATGGTAGATCTTTAGTTAGCATAGTTCCAGAGAACTTGTTTTATCATGGTTATGACTTTTATAATGCTGAACTACAGAAACTGTTCTTAATTAAAAGTAAAGGGAATTTTCTGGTAGATGAATCAACTGAACGTCCAAATCTTGTAGAGGGAAAAAAGTATATTCAGAAAACTGTCTGCAGATAGGTATGATTTCATTTATCTTCTGGGAAAACAAGTCCCATTTCCTATAAGTAGATATGTTATAGTGCTATGAATACAGCGTAGAATGTCACTGTATGTTAAGAATCTGAATTTGCTCTCATTTGAGCACACCATTTATATTCATGTTTAATACTACTTAAACCTTCTGGTTTTCCCCCTCTGTTCATTTAGGCCCAGGAGTTTCCCTCCAGCCCTGATGTAAATAGCTCACTAAATGCTGAACACCTTGAGGGCTATGAAGAGATGCGTTTAGAACTTGACCAGGCTGAGCTGAGGCAGAGGGAACTTCAAGATCGTATTCACCAGCTAGAAATGGAAAACCAGGAGCTCCAGGCAGCTGTCAGCCTTCAGAGAGAGCAAGTACAGGTAGAAAAGGAGAAGAGCAATAACTACAGTGAGGAAAACTCCCGGCTGACAAAGATGATCACAGAGTTACAAAAGCAGTGTGAGGTCTCACACTCCACTCAGAGCGCTGTCCATGACCTGCAGAAGTGCCTACAGTCGTTGGAATTAAATGCAGTGGAGCAGCAGAAAGAATATTCAACAAAAGTGGAGCAGCTGTTGACCAGCAAGGAAGACTGTTCCTCAAAATTGCAGGTTTTGAATCAGGAGCTGGAGACCTCGAGGGCTTTGGTTGCTGTGAATAATCTTTGCATCGATGAGCTCAAAGCCAAGCTGAGTTCTTCAGAACAGAAGAATCTCAGCCTCCTTGCGAAAGTTGACGCTGCCTTGGAGGAGAAGGGACAGCAAGCCACAGCCCAGTGTGACTCTGCCCTACAAATACGGGCACTGTTGGAGAAGCTTCAGGAGATGGAAAAGGAAAAGGCAGATATGCAAAGACTAAATGATGAACGTGCATCTCAGCTGAAAGCAGCAAAGGAGGAGCTGCAGCTGAAAGAACAGGCACAGAAGGAACTGGAGTCCAGATACAATCGCCTCACTGCTGATTCCAAAGAAGAGAGTGAAAAGCTGATTGGGAGCCTGGAAACTATGACAAAGGAAAAGGATGCACTTCAGAAGGCCCTGACTCTGAAAGGAAAGGAGATGGCTGAGCTCCAGACCCAGGTAATGGGGTCGCTGGCTCAGGTGGGGTCACTGGAAAAAAGTCTTGAGGAAGCCAGGAAAGAAAAAGAGAAACTTGAGGAGGAATATGGTAGGAGGGAAGGAGCACTGAAGCAGGAAGCCCAGTCAAAAGCAGAGCAACTTGAACTACAGGAGGGTCACTTAACAAAGGTGAGTCAGACTGTGTGTAGCCTTGAGGAGCAAAACCGGAAACTCATGTCTGAGAAAGAGCATCTCGGGCAGAAAGTCAAGGAGCTGGAGGAGCAGATGGAGCAGCAAAACTCTGCTGTGAGCGAATTGGATGAGGAGAGCAGGAAGCTGAAAGCAGAGAATGTGAATTTGCAGCAGTCCAAGAACAAGATGCAAGCAAAGCTGAAAAATCTGGAAGCTTCTAAAGCTTCCCTGGAAGCTGAGGTAGCCAGGCTGAGAGCCTCTGAGAAACAACTTCAGAGTGAGATAGATGATGCCCTGGTGTCAGTTGATGAAAAAGAGAGAAAGCTCCGGGGCGAGAACAAACATCTGGATGAAGACTTGCAGAATGCCAGGAGGCAAAGCCAAATTCTGGAGGAGAGGTTGGAGGCTCTGCACTCAGAATATGAAGAACTAAGGCAAAGAGAGGAGGCCACCAAGGAGTCTTATGCCTCACTTGAACGACAGCTAAAGAGTGCCAAACAGCATAGTTTACAAATGGAAAAAAGCTTGGGCACCTTGAAGGAAAGCAAAGAGTGTCTCCAGTCACAGCTCACAGAGAAGGAATTAGAACTGCAAGGCATGGAGAGCCAGTGTGAGCAGCTGAGAGCAGAAGCTGAAACACACAGAAAGAAAGCAGAGACTCTTGAGGCAGAAAAGCTCAGTGTTGAAAAGACATGCCTTCATCAGACAAAGCTTATAGAATCCCTCACATCAGAAAAAGAATCAGTGGAAAAACAGCAACTACAGCAGGCAGCTTCCCTGGAGAAGGAGGCAAAAGAGCTGGCCTTCAGACTGACCATGAGCGAAGAGCAGTTGGAGGTCAATCGAGGTGAAGTGTCTAGGCTGCAGGCAGAAGTCCTCGACCTCCGAGTCAAGCTTCAGCAGACCACTGATGAGAGAGAGAGGATGAGAGGTGAGCTGGCAGTCACTGAGACTGCCTTGAGTGAGCAGAAGGTGCTTGTCCAGCAGCTGAAAGAGCAGAACGAGTCTCTCAACAGAAACCACGTGCAAGAACTGGTACAATGTAAAGAAAGGGAAGAAGTGCTGAAAAAAGAGCAGGAGACAACAGCCCATGAAAATGCTGAGCTGGAAAATAATTTGCTGAACCTGAAGGAAGAGCTATCCAAGGTTAAGCAGTACTTGGAAAATGCTAGGATGGAAAACGAAGAAAACAAAGATCTCCTCCACAGGACCAACACAGATATGGCTGAACTTGGTATTCAGATTTGTGGCTTGTCCTCTGAAAAGATGGATGCAGAAGAGCAGTTAGCCCAGGCCAGAGAAAGGCTCAAAGAACTGGAAGAACAGGCAGCAGAGCAACAGAAGAAGCTGAAGCTTGATATCTCTAATCTCAAAGAGGAGAACAAGAGCCTGCAAGAGAAATTAGAGGAGGCTCAAATATGTGCCGCAGCTGTCCCAAATCTGCAATTGCAGCTGGAGACAGCAAAGAAACAGGCACAGAGCTTCCAAGAGACCAGCCAAGAAGAGCTATCTGCAATAAAATTTCAAATGAGCACAGAGATTCTAAATTATCAGACAAAATTCAAGGTAAATTAATGTAATTATTATAGCTGAGGGAGCTGCTTTACCATCTGCTACAGCAATTACTGCATGAAATCCTAAGGTTTGTGTGGGTCAGGCTCTGAGACTAGCACACAACTAACCTTAGCCTGGGAATCTGAAAATGTCTCTACACTCATGACCTGTCTGAGATAAAATAACTCTTCAGAGTGTTATGGACATGTACAGTGTGGCCATTCAAGCCCAGTGGAGAAGCCATCCACTCCTTGAGAGGGTGATGATTTCTTATGCTGGCACTGAAGGTGGCATCTGCTGTAACTATTCCCTCTGGTTACAGCTGTGGTTGTTCTCTTTTTTGGTAGGAACATTGCAAGACCTGTTCCTCACGCCTGTAACACTGCTTCTCCTTAGAACTGAGTCTGATGAAAGCAGACTTAAACTGAAACCATATGCTTTTGCAGTTAATTCCCTTGCGTATTTTTCCTTTCAGCTGCTCAAGGTAACAGCTGAGAAGATCAAAGTTTTGCTTCAAGGAAAACTTGAGTCAGCCCCGATTATGTGAAACAGCACACCTAAAGGCTGAAGATTTTATTGTGGGGTTTTTGCCGTTCTGAGATAACGTCTAAGACTAGTGGTTTGATCAGAAGCTTATGCCATTGCATGTGTTTGACCTTCTTTTTGTTCAGAATTGTAATAACCTATGGAAAGTAGCAGTAAAACACAGCTAGTGCCACCACAGAGGGAGTTTCCTTGATTCCAAGAGCTGAGTGTCCTTTTAGCTGTCGTCTTTCATAAGCCTGACAGTGGTGCTGCATTTATTGCACGCATGGCACTAAGAGCACTCATGACTCACAACTGGGAATTTTGTAAATGAAGGGGTGGCCACTAGAGGATTTCTAACTCCTGGCTCAATCTCTCTGCTAGGCAGTCAGTGAGGAGTGTGGGAAAGTGAGAGAGCAACTTGAGGAGCAGAAGCGACAACAGCATGCTGCGGAGGAAGAGATTACCGAGTTACAAGTAGGTGCTTGATCTGATTTAAAACCAGAGGCATTTGTGTCAGCAGGCGTTATTGTTACAGCTGAGAAGGCAAGCAGCGTTTCTGATGACTGGCTGTGAGTCTGAGAATGCCCTTCAATAAATACACTGGGCTGCAGACAAAATACTTGGCAGCTGACAGCCACCAGAGCAGAGATTATGAAAAGCTCAACTTCACTTGGAATTTGTTCTGTTTTGAAAGCTAGCCAGGTTTTCTGTAAGACCTGGCTATGTGTTCCCTTCTTAAATGGGGGTGCAGGTTCAAAGCGTGTCTTTCTTGGGCCCTGCATGCCCACTGTACAGTTACATGTCTGAATCCTTCTGTTTTCAGGCTTCAAGGGGCACTGAATCAGAGTTAATCTGTCTGAGAAATAACCCAGCCAAAAAAATACAGAATTTTTGCAATGAATTTATCAAACAGCTGAGTTAGGAGGGTTGTATTGAGTTGTAAGGAATCCAGAAACAAGGAATTTAGGGTTACTGACCGTGGCCCTACCTGTTAGCAGAAATACACACACCTTTACATGCAGTTGGATATGTTCCCTGAGGACTCCAAGTTTGGCATGCTTGGCATACTCTGGAGAGGCTAACTGTGAAAGAAGTTGGGTTTGTTGTCCACTGTTCTTCATATTCCATATAGCTTTAATAAACAACATTTGTCTCCTACCTAATTTTTTACTTTTGAATTTTTTAGGTGGTGAAAAAGCTTTCAGGGTGTATTCTTTTGCCATTTATCTTTGAGAGATTTTTCTTGATGCAAGAGCCGAAAGATCAGCTGACATAGACTAACAACAATTACAGGCTTAATGCTCTCTTAGTTTATTCAGTGTGACAGAAGTAATCAGTCACTAGTACACAACTAATTACTGCCTGCTTATACAATAATATCTTAATTGGTCGTGTGGCTGTAACTGATTCTTCTGAAACATTGGTAGCTGTCCTGGTAATTGTTCTATGCATGGTAAAGTGTTACTTTTACGTGTAAGGAAATGCAGTAATTTATTTTACTAGGCTGCAAACACGAGTTTGTCCAGAAAGCTGGATGAAGCAAGAGAGCAGCTGTCTGAATCAGAATCTGCTCGGCTGCAGAAGGAAGAGGAGGTGACATCTCTTAGAGAACTCTTGGAAAGGTGAGAGTTTGGGTTCTTTACACAAACCGTTAATTGTAAGGCCAGCAAGGGAACAACAACCAAAACATAATGAAAATCGCTGGGGTTTATGAAGTACCATGGGTTTATACAGGGCAAATAGTGCATGGGCACTAACAAGCAATATCAGATTGATGCTTCAGGATAAGAAATAGATAAATTACGCAGCACATGTGAATGAGCTGTTTAGATTTTATTGTACTGTTAGCTGAGGACATGAATTCATTGTATGTCTTCTTTTATGAAACTTAAAAATGTTTTTATAACCTCCTTTTACCTTATAGATTAAGCACAAAATTAAAACAATATGGGAAGGGGTTGTAAAGAATGGAAAATTTAAGGGTTTGGGCTGTTTGTTTTTTTTTCTCCTCTCCATGAGCTTCAGGGAATCAGCAAGAATTATTTGAATGGGACCACATCCTGCTTGTCTTTGCCAGGTTTGTTATCAGCTTTAATTGTCTAAGTCAGGCTGTGTTTTCAAGGTCTTTAATGTGGACCTGTGTGGTGTGGATAATCTGGCAGTCAGAAATAGAACTTTGAGGCGTGGAGTCACACAGAGTCTGATGGTTTAATGAAAGCCTATGTAGTTTTATGTTTTTGCTGATATCGTCTGTTTTATTCCTAGTATGGTAGAATTGCAAGCTTTACTATAAGCAGGCCATCCAAGAAATTGCTGGTTGCTGACTGTGTTCACTGGATGGTGGATCTGTGTGCATTTTCAGTGATGCAGAAAACTGGAGAGATTCTGTTGAGCTCTAAAAAATATGCACATTGAGAACAATTTCACTGAAACTACCTGTTTATCAGGGTACAGGAGCCCTTTCTTCCATGGGGAAGATTTAAATGCACATGAGCTAAAAATGATTCTTAATTGCCTTTGTATTTGATCAGGATCCAAAAAGAAGCTGATGAAGCAAAAAAGAAGATCCTGGATTACACTGAGAAGCTCAGCAAGGTGGCAGCAGACAAAGATAGCAGTGACCAGAAGTTATTTGCTGAACTGGATGACCTGACAAGAACAAAACACTTCCTTGAAGAGCGCTTGATAGAACTTATCAGGTTGGCATCAAAACAAACAGCAAGCAGGAATTAAAATCCTAGCTTAGGATGTTGAGGGATACTGCCTAGATGGTCCAGTCTTGTATTCCTGAATTAAAGGTGCAAGTAATGGTCAAATTCATCAGCAGCTGAAATTTTGCATTTCCATAATACAGTAAAAAAATGTAACACTGAATGTTATCTCAATTTGCTGTCTGTTTTGCAAAAATATGTAGTTCTCCACATGGCATATGGTTTTCTCCCTGTCTTCCCTGAAGCTTCAGGAGGTTTTTTTTATCTATCTTTATTTCTGAAAGCTCCTCAGAAGTTTAGAGCAAAGGAATTTTTACTGTGAAGCTTTCACCAGCATTCTAGTTGAGGTTAGTTAACAGTAAACCAGCACTGATAACTTTTCTTTCTTTTAACTGTGTCTCTGCAGAGATAAGGATGCTTTGTGGCAGAAGTCGGATGCTCTGGAGTTCCAGCAGAAGCTCAGTGCAGAGCAGAGGTGGCAGGGGGACACAGAAGTTAATCACTGTCTGGACTGCCAGAGAGTGTTCTCATGGATGGTGCGCCGACACCACTGCAGGTCAGTTTGTTGAACTGTAATGCAGTGTTCAGAAGCAAAATTCAGTATGCTCATCTACATGGATGAAAGATTTCTTAATGTTTGCAGTTCAGTGATCAAAAGCATTGATACATGACATTGTAGAGGCTGAAAGAACACATGAGCTTAGAAGGGGGTAAGAGACGTTAATGGAAAGGTCCCTTGACATGTATTAAGGCAAAGATCTGGATGCAACTCTGACCTGGAGAGTCTGTTAGTATCTCATTTCTGGAAACAAAGATAATCACACCCTACCTGGTGTGTTTCTTTGAAGGACTGTGCACTTGTCTCTTCATGCTCTAAACAGTATTCTCTAGGAGGGTTTTGGTATTGTGATGTAAGTATTCCAGAACAAATTCCAACCTGCTGGGCAATTATAAATTTTTTTACTTACACTAGATATGTTCAGAGATAATTACCAATTGTCGAGTAATCCTTTTTTAAAAAGCTGATATTAAATTATTTCCCCTACAGTTAGTATTATTTATCCAATCTAGATTTATTAAAATATATTTAAGTGGATACATTTTAGGGTTCCAGTGATATGTTTGGTTTGGCTCTTCACTGTTCCTTATCCTCATGACCTGCTTTGTAATGTAAGGAAAGGAGTACTGGGACTATTTCAACTGCATATAAACGTTAACAGCCTTCCATGGGGATTAGTGAATAATGAAATCATTTTAGGTAAAAACTTCCAAATTACTCATTTCTACTGAAGTCTGTGAAAGGTATTTGTGTTTTCCCCTACTAATGGTTTAAATGATTATGAAAAACAAAACCATTAAAACTTCATGAGTAGCAGTCATCTCTGCTGGATGCTTTTCTTCATGAAAATCTTAACATGCTCATTCAAAAATGGTTGACAGTTAAATACTGAGAGACTTCAGAGTGGAGAGGGCAGTAGGGAATGTACATGTATGTGTCCAATACTGTTTTTTCTTTCTTGCCTGCAGGGGAGAGGGGCCATTACGAAGCAGAGACATATAGATGTGCTCTTACAGTCCTTATAATCAAGTAGAGTTTTGCTGTACCTCAGTATGAAATTTGGCCTATATAATATTATTAAGCACATTTCCTTCCTATGTACTTAGTATAAATATTATTTATTTGTATTGCATGTTTATATGCATTTGATTGTTTTATGTCTGTAAATGTATTTTTATTTCTTTTTTTAGTATTTTCAGTTTTTTCTGTTTTTTCTGTTTATTAAGGTAGCAAAGTGTGAATGTGAATTTCTGTCCTGTGCTTGTCAAGAAGACTTGTTTCACTTCAGAAAAGAGCACAGTCTGTATAATGAGTTCTGCCATGGATGTAGCTTTCACTCTTTGGCAGAAAACAAGACTGTTCTGACAAAGCCCCAGACTCTGTCACGTAGATATGTTCCAGCTGTATGTGGTGCTTTTCTAACACCTTTTGGTTTTGAATAATTTCTAGAATGTGTGGTCGCATTTTCTGCTACTACTGCTGCAACAACTACATGGTGACAAAACCTGGTGGAAAAAAGGAGCGTTGCTGCAAAGCTTGCTTCAGTAAGCCTAGAGTCATCGTGGACAATACAGATGACTCTGGATCCAGTGCCAACCAGGAAGGATCACCAGCTTCACTGGAATCGCCTGTGTCACCATCTGAGAGGACTTTTGGTTAGTTTATTGTATACATGCTGTGGAGAAATAAGTAGGGTTCTTTGACAGTCTCCAAGAAACCAAATGGGCACCTCCTGCTTCAAGGACCTGCAAGAGGTCATGGAATGTTTTCAGGGTGGGACTGATCACATCTTTGATTTTGATTGTTATTGACAGAAACCTGTATGTATATTAAATAAGTGTCAGTCAGCCCACAGTTTTATATTAGTTCTGGTAGTTACTTAATGCTTCTGTAAAGGTAAAGGAATGGCCCAGTCCTCCCCCTTAAGTGTTTTGATTGTTTATTTTCCAGACAACCAGCTTATATTGTTTCTGTTTATTTTCATGTCCTTTTATGGCACAGTTGCAAGTGAAGCCTCTAAACCACCAGATGATGCAGCATTTGATATAATCACTGATGAGGAACTGTGCCAAGTACAGGAAACAGACTCTCTCCACAATGAAAGTCAGATGGAAAGAGTGTCTCTGGATCAAAGCATGACAGATTTGTGAGTAAACACTGGTTCATGGAGAGGGGACTCTTTTGGGTTTGCTTTAGAATGTTCTTTTTTTTTTTTTTTCCCAGTGAGTGAGAGTAGCCAACCTCTGCAGAAAGAGAAGACACCTCTGGTCTGAGGCCACATGTTCATTAGACCAACACAACATAATTAGGACCTATTTGCAATCAGCATCAAATCCAGTAAATATAAACAGCTCCATCTTCTCCCTCCACCTGTTTCTCCACAGCAGAGGGGAGTAGTCCCAGCTCTGTGCTGTCATCAGGCCAGCTGTCACCTCTAAAGCAGCATTCAGGCCAAGCTGAAACACTGGTCATGCACGACTTGTAATAAGAGCTAAGTGATACTGTCAGACTCACCACTGCGTAATATCAACTGAACAAGGAGGTGGGGAAAAGTTAAGGAAGGATATGCTCTTTTTGTGACAGGCTTCATTGAACTAAATGTGAAAGAACCTGTCTGTGTCCATAGGGTTCCTTTCTGCCTTAAAGATGACAGCTCATAGAAAAGAAAAAGAACAATTGTGCAGCTAAATCTGTTTGAAGTTTGTTCTTTCTTCTTAAGAAAATGAGACTAGATGTGGATTTCAGTAATTTTTTTTTTTTTACATCTATTTCTACATTGAATTAGCAATGAAGAGCTAAATACTTGGTTTGCAAATTATGTTGCAATATTATAGTGTAATGTATATTGAGGTTTATACAAAATATTGCTTTACTATTGTTCAAATATTTCAAGTATTTTACAAAATTTCTGTAAAATATATTATCTTTTGAGAAGAAAAAAGAAAGACAAATTTCATCTAAATTATGCATTTGCTTTGCTTCTGTACAGAAAAATAAGCATGATAAATCTAAATGCTAAACTGAAAATAGCCACAGAATAACCAGTCTGTTGCTGAGAAAGCAGACCTAGACTCTTTTGCCTTCAGCAGACCCATTTCTCATATAAACCACAGTGACTTGCAGTTTGTTTTTTTGGTAAAAAAAAAACTTTTCAAAATTCTACATTTTTGTTTCTTGGTAAATAACTTGTCTGTATTCTGCCTTTTTTGTATACTGTTGGCACTGACAGTATATTTCTGCTTGTGATGTGCTGGGCATACGTGAATGAACTGGGCTCCACAATGCTCCTGTGAATTTAGTTTTGCAAAGGGGCAGTTTGTGGTGGTGGGTTTTTGTATGTTTGGGGGTTTCATAAAGAAAAAAGTGTAATGTACTACTAATTTGAATTTGTGCTGTCTGCAGGGGGTATATCACAGGTGAGTCAGCTCTGGAGAAAACAATCAGAAGAAAAGAAATAAGTTGGGTCACCATTTGTTTCAGTTTGGGATTGATTTGGATTCATCTTGTCTCAGAAAGTATTCAAGCTAGAAGGAAGGATTGCCACTAACAATGGAATACTATTCTTGATGAGTGCCCATGCAACAACCTACTTGCACCTTGTAAACCTTTGCAGGTTGTCCATCTCCTCTCGTTCACATATTACAGGCAGGAAAGCCAGGAAATAGTGTTTTATCTTCTGCTGCTCTTGGTTATCAGTTTCATGAGCCAGGTGGGAGAGTCCTACTACGGTCATACTTGAAGCTTGAGACATTCTGTGAAGAGAACACAAACCACACCTGCCCTTTCCCATGACACCTGTAAAGTCTCACTAGCCTGAACACTGGAGAGGAGAATGGCCTTCTTACGTTGCAGATGACTTGATCATCTCATGTTGATTGTGTGGTTTTGTGTTATGGGTGATATCTAGAAACTGATAAATGAGTCAGATGCTGGTGTGGTGCCTGTAGTACGTGTTGAGGAAAAAAAAGCAGAGCACAGTGTTGATTGTGACAGCACAGTTTTCTAACTTGTTTCTGTGGTGTACCTGAAGCTCGAGTGTCGCTTAGCACATGAGCAGATAATACAGCACAAGATGCTCTGGGGGTTTGAGAGTGAATGTGCCAGAGCCACTATACTGAGAATGAGCAAAGATTCTGCTAACCCTCTGTTCTGTCTTTGACAGCAGCCCATGGCAGGTGTACTAAAAATTTCCCCCACTTCAGGGATCTGTAGTTCAGTTACTTTCTGAGTTTCATTGCTACAGATTTCTTGGCTGTACTGGACTGAGCACCCTGAACTTCATGTAGACTCATAGTCTTTATTGTTTTTTTGAAAGTGTCCAGCTAAATGTGGCCTGATGGAAACTTTGGTTAGTCTCCACTGGCATTCCAATAATGTTCTCTTCGCATGAAATTGAATACTTTGAGCAGAATTTGCTTTGATATTGCGCCTGGGGAAGACGCAAAGGATCCAATATTGCCCTTGCTAGCTGCAGGTTGGAGGAATACATACAAATAAGTAAGTTTTCAGGCCAGACTTCTTTGTTGAGATCTGCTGAAAATAATCCAGTCTAGTTGGGTTTTGCCAGAGATGTGAAGTAATTGGTGCAGCTTTATAAATGAGGGAGATGAGCAGCCAAGAGAGGGAAGAGAAGGGAAGCTTGGTGTCCAAATAGAAGACCTGTGACAGGCGTGCTCTGCTGACATAGTTTCTTATGACCTTACTCTGGCTGACTGGCAGTCACATTGACTATACGTATTCTAGGTGTGAGTCCTTTCTGGATTGGAAATGCAAGTTTTTACTCAAAGAAGTGAATTATCTTAAAGGATATTCCTGTTTCTATTTGTCCCCACTTTTGGTGCCTACTGCTCTGCTACTTTATTTTTCGCTTGTTTTCTTCACCTAGCCTGCCACTGTAGTTCTTTCCTTGAAGTGACACGAAGCAATTACAACAAAAATATTTCATAACAGCAAATTTTGAGAGTCTGCCTTTATTGGTACAGGTCAGTTAAGAATCAATTAAAACTCACCTTGGTCATGAACTGCACAGGTGTGTGATAAGATAGCTGGTGTACCAGCATAACTCTGGCCGACCTTGAAGCAGCTCTTTCCTACAGGTTAGGATTAAACAGCAGTTGCTTCGTTCTCTCAGGTATGTTATGTGTGTTTGGAGCAAACTGATCAAAATCTTAATGTGAGAAGCTAAGTTGTGTAATTGTGGTAGATGCTGTAGATACTTCAAAGCTCATGGCTTTTCTTTTAAAGTGTCATATTTTTAAACTCTTTTATTTCTAAAGCATTAACATTTGCAGATTGTGTTCTAAAACGAAGGTCAGGATAGTGTATAGCACTGGATCAAAGTCCTCAGGGTAAACCAGTGCACGACATTACATGCCTGCTATACACATAGCAGCAGCAGAACCAAGATCATAGACAGCAGAAGAGTAAAAAAAGAAAAAAAAAAAAAAAACAACACCGCACTAAATTTACCACTACCTTGGTGCAGAAACAAAGGGTTTATTCACACCTTGGTAGTGGTAAAAAGAACATCTCAGCCTGTCTGCACTGTGGTTGCTTTGGTTTGCATTCTTTTTTTCCTTAAAAAAGACTCATAACACTCTTTGCTGACCTAGTTACAACTAACTTGGCTGGGTGCCAGCGTAGCCAGAAGGGGAAACTGAATGTGGCAAAGCGTTCACTGCCCTGTGCAGAAGCTGCCAGGAAGGGGTGGGGACAGGAGCACCTCTTGCCACCCGCTCGCTGGCAATGCCTGCCTTGCTGTCTGTTGGGATAGCAGCTTTACTTGCCACACGCGTGTGAAAGCACAGCATGTTGCTTCCTGGTTTTGTTTTAGGGATATTTCACTGTGGGAGAAACAAGAGACTGTGTAGTAAGGAAAGGGTTGCCTAAGCAGCTGTTTTCTAAGGGGGGAAAAAGGACCTGGACACAATGGTGCCATTAAGGGTCAGGTACCCACTGAGCTGCACTGCTCTGGTAGGAAGGACTGAGAGTTAATGGGGAGAAAAGGAACATCCAGAGTGAGTGTGATCGTTTCAAAAATGGTTTGAAACAGTTTAAACTAGTATTTTAAAGATGTAATAATCAAAGGACTTTCAGCCTTTGGGCCAGACCTAATCCTGCCTTCATCACAGGCAGCCCACAGCTGTTTTTGTAGCTTGTGGTATCTGCGTTATTTGAAGAAGTAGGTTTGAGAGTCTTCCTGTTTAGTGGTTTGCCATTGTTTAGCCATAACTTGTTGTTTGATACATCTTGAGTTTTTAATAATTTTATGTACCTTCTGATTTTCATCCCCATGAAGAAATACAGAACAGGGTTAAGACAGCCATGGAAATAAGCAAGAGTTCCTGTTATGATAATTGCATGTTCAAAGTATAGGGTAACTGAGAGAGGATAAACAGGTCAACTATAGAAAATATTTTTCATAGATTTGTTCTTCTGAAGAATTCTGGCATGCAGTAAGGTTCTAATAATTAGTGAGTAGCTGATGATCATGGCTAGCACAGGAATAAAATAAGAAAGAGTCATTTTAAGAGCCAATTCTGTGCAATGGTTTGGCCATTCTTCCTGACATAATGCCTTATCATTATTAAATACCTCACTAAAAAGTATGGTGTGGCAAATACTAGCGTGATCACTGAGATCAAGACACAGATTAATTTGCCCCATGTCATTTGTTGTTTGGTTTGACACGTGTTTCGGTGGCAAAAGTGATAGAAATAAGCCAGTCAAAGGTGACAGACATTAGAGTTAACATTGAAGTGTATACAAGCTCCATATAAGACAACATGCCATGGTGCCTCAAGTCCACTCCTGAGTATCAGAATGTCCCCAGAGTGGCAGCATCTAAAGGAAGACCCATCAGCTATAGCCAAGTGTAGCAAAAACATGTCTGTCAGCATCTTCAGTTTCGTGTGGAAAACTAGTATGGCAAAGACCAGTGCATTTTCTGCTAGACCAAGGATGAAAACAACTGAATATATACAGAGCAGGAAGACTCTTGTAAATATGAAAATCCTCACTTCTGTTTTCACTGGGACCAGTGATGGAGAAGTTATAATAAAAGTTAGCAGCACCTGTAGTTGCCATGCTGCCTTCTTTTTAAAGGCAGCCTGTAAGGAGACACATTGAGATATTTTTTTTTTTTTCTCAGCAAGCAATTAAATCCTAATGCATCCAGGAGACAGGAAAAATCCTAAGTTCTAACAGATAAGAGTTGTTGTAAAGCATCCATGATAGACAAAAGCAAATCTTATTTATTTGCTTAAGAGGATTGGCTTGACAATCAAGACCCAAACACAACAGCTGGTGGATTTGAATGCATCATTTGTTACCAGATTTATACTGTTGGGGACTCAAAGGCATACTCAAAAGACAATTACAAAGAAGCTTCTGTAAACAGTATAAGGATTAAGCTTTCAAATACATCAGTGCTTTAGTGTTTGAATTGAGGGTTTCTGGGGAAACCCATGAGAGAAACAGAATTCATTTTGCCAAATCTAGCCTTTGGGCTCAGGTTGCAGGCTCTGAGTGCCAGTGCTTGGGTTGGACCTGTCTTGAAAGGCATGGTCTCAGCGAATGAGCACCTGTGGTTCAGTTCAACCTCATCATGTTTTTTTAGATGTTAGTCACATCATCATGTGGTGGCACTTCTTCCTTTCCCTTTCTCAAATGACTTACTGGAAACATGAAGGATTTTCATTAATGTATTTCTAACAGCCATTTTTGCAAGATGTTTACCTGGTAAATTAAATCTTTCGTAGGACAGGTTTTTAAAGATTTAGTCCAAAAGTTAAATGTCCTCTCTCTTGAGCTACAGAGAATATTTCTGTGAGACTAATCTTACTACAAGATATTACTCAAGATAAGATTAGTAGAATTCACCTCTGAATTGTTAAGGTTGGCTGAAAGGCCTTATCTGGTGAGTCGTAATGTACAGCAGTTTGAAACAGATGTCTCTTGATTCTGCAAGGGAGGGAAACAGTATTGAGGGAAAGCAGCCCATGCAGTTAGATCTTTGCAGCAGCCTGTGGTACCTTTGCTGGAGTCCTTCTGGGATCTGACTTGCAGTGTGCTTGTACCTCTGAGTACTTGAGTTTGGAACCTGCAAATGTGTATTTTAAAAAAACCAGACAACCCCAAATTTGACTTAATCCTGCAGCATCATTTACTGAAATAAGACTACTGACACAAGGCTCTGTGATACCCTTTAAAACTTGAGTTGTTCCTTGTGCTTCATTGCATGTGGTAGCGATTTGTCTGCCTCCGAGAAAGAAAGTTGGAGCAAGGTGCTAAATATTCACAAACTGCTCCTGTCAAACAGGAGCAATGGGTTGTGACAACCACCTGCTTTTATCAGTTATTTTCAGATGCAGAACAGAGTAGGAGGTTGATACAGCAGTGGCTGAGCTATGTGATAGTATCTGTACCCTAAAGCAGTGTGAATGTCTGCCTTGAGAAAAGATACAGTTCCCACTGTGCTGCAGAGGGCCAGCCATTGGCCCTTTCTAACAACGAGACCCATTTAAACTCCTAAACCCAGAAAATATCACTTTTGAAATGTCTTAATCATGCATTTATGGAGAGCTCATCTAAGCTACTCTGGTCAGCCTAGCTCACAGTGACCTCAAGTCACCAGAGATGCTCCTTTCTCAGACTTTATGGGCAGGGATGGCCTTCCCATGGAGACCACTACTCTCCCTCCCAACATCCATTTGCTCTTATGCATACACAATAAATCTTGGGATCAATTCTGTAACTTCTAATAAACTCTTTGCCAAAGATGACTGCAGTATCAACAGTATTCAACCCTTTGCCCTGCATTAGGGATCAAAAGAAACTCATAGAGACTTCATTTCTGCTTGCTAACCTACCTGTAATTTGACCTGTTTCCTTCTTTGTTTCATAATCTGTGTTTCCATATAATATCTTTCTGATGGACTGCTCAAAGAAGCCCTCTCTGGCATAGAAAAAACAGAGGTGGGCTGTGTGAGTTCACCTCAGGGAGTGGGCAGTGAGATTAGCTGTTATTCCTGTACAGATCAGTCTGAAACCATTTCACTGTATAGCTGTGAAGCTCCCTGTGTGCAGAAACCACACCAGCTGCAGGGACCCTGCAGGCTCTGGGATGGAGCAGCCTCTGTGGAGATACAGGCTGGGCATAGAGGGCTAGGGAACAGCTCTGCTGAAAGGGCCTGGGTTCCTGGTGGATAGTGATGTAAACCCATGCCAGAAACAGCCTCTGCTATACCTCTCCTTAAATTCTGCATCAGTTTCCGTGTAATAGCCTCTAAAGAACTATGCAAAGAAAAAATTCGAAGGTATCTAAGCTGGTGCTACCTGCAGAGGTGGCTGTAGCCTTGGTGGTCTACAGACTGTGCAGTATTTTGGATATTTGGGCAGTGTTTGTAGTCTTGATTCTCATAGTCATGTTTGCTGCCTCCTGCTGGGGAGGGGACTTTAAAGTACCCTGGTAATCCCTAATCACTTATTCTTTACCTTTTGCAAATGAGCATTTGAAAGCTGTCTGCATCTCAGAGCCTTTGCCAAACCTCTTCCCTAGAACAATACTGAAAAAAAAAAAAAACTCATAAGATTTTGCATGTTGTCCCTTGGAGCATGGAAATATTCCTTTGTCATGATTGTTTCCCTAGCTTGCCTTCTGTGTATTGCCTCTGGTGTAACTAATTTTAAAACCAGTTTTAAGGCAGGAGAGTTCTTTTGTATTGTTTCTTCTTTTGGTTGGTTTTTTGTTTGTTTGTTTGTTTTTTTTCATACATGATATAGCGTAGTTAAATCATACAGAGTTTTTTTTTTGAGAAATAGGTGGGATTTCCTATGTACCAATAAGCAGTTCACCCACAGCACATGGTGGTGGATCTTTATGTCCCTCCATGTTGTCTCTGTGATGCTTTCCCATCCCAACATATGTCAGGGTTTGCTCATAACTTTCCCATCCCTTTCCCACCCGTTCACCATGCAAGTCACTGTCATGCACCCTGTTAAAAACAGTGAGCTCTGTATCCCCCATGTCCCACCGCAAATCATGCCTCTTTTCTTGCCCATGTCAGGGGCAGTCTGTGGCATCCTTTCTTCTGATCTTTCAACATCGACTTTCTTTTTCTTGTTCATTGTTGGGCTGGAGGGGAAGGCTAATAACTAAGTCAGGGTGCTTGGGGTGGTTCTGACCTGCTAGATAACAGCAGGCCCAGGGAATCATTGGTGCACTTCAGCATAATGCCTTTGATTGTTTCTTTGCATTTTCAGATGTGTTTGCTGGGCTAAGGAGCTGTTAGGAGCTCTGTACAGCCTCCACTCTCCGTTTCAGGTTTCTGGCTTTCACAGAATTCGGTAAGATTCTCACCCTGGATGACTGAAGTTCTCTCCAGAAATCACTGCACTGCTGACAGGCAGATGGCTTTTGGGATTTCACTGCTCAGCCACATGAAGCCAACACTTCAGACACAGCTACAGCTCTTAGAGCTCAGGTGTTCATGAAAGCAAAAAATTGCCAAGTGCAGAGTTGAACCAGCTTCCTTCAGGATTTAATTCTGAAAGGGACTTCTCACTTCTAATTCCCAAAGCCATGTATGATGTTAACCACAGCATTTTTAGTATCATGTGTTAGAAATGCTTACCATGTATAAGAACAGGCGTACTGGACAAGACCATCCACCTGAGGGCCAGTGACCAACAGCAGGTGCCTGAGGAAGAGCATAAGAACATGACAGGCATAAAGTGATACTTCTTCAAAATGCTCCACCAGCCTGTGACAACCTGTGTCTTGAGGATTTGCTGAATGAGAGCTGTTCTGTTCCTCCTGTAGTGTCTTTTCCATGCTTCCCTTTTTCCTGCTTTTCATCCCCACTTCATTTCACTTAAAAAAAAAAAAAAAAAAAGAAAAGAAACAAGTCCAGACCATGTAAATAGATAAAGGATACATATTCATAAGCTGGGGACCTAGCAAGCTGGAGGAACATCTTAATGCTGCCACATAGGGTGACGAGGTCATGCAAGAATAAATCCTCTAGTCAGGGGGACAAGAGCTTCAGTTAAGTCCTAAGACTGTTTCTTTTCTTATATTTTCCACATAGGCTAGCAGACCTCAGTTTAGACTGTTGGACTCACTGGGATATCATACAGAGAAGGAGGATTTGTTTTGTGCTTATAATGCACTTTAGTTTAATAGACAAAGTGAGAGACTTAGGATTTCCTTAGCCTACAGTGAGTACATGTGTGATGAATTTATTGGTTGGAGCAGCCAAGTGGAAAGCTAACCACCTAACCATGTACTGAGTTGAAAAGCAGATATAAGGAAAATCATGTGTTAGAGGAGAACATGGAAAATATATTGGTCCTGGGATTTAATTTACATTTCAGAGTTCCAAGCAAAGCATGAAATGATGAAATAAATAATGAACTTTAATGGTATTGTGTAATAAATCATGGAGTTTGACACTTCTGGGAAGCCTGTAGTCATGTTGTTCTCTTTGTCTACATTAATTCAAGGCTGTGAAATTAAAGAGTGTGTAGTTATCATGGTGGGAAGGGAGACTTACATGGATCACAGCATGAAATCTGTTGCTGTTCCTACTATGCAAGGAAAATATACATATAGGTTTACAAGCTACAGTTTATTTTTCTAAGGTTGTTTTGTTTTTTTTTCAGAATCAATTTTCTTATCTAGTTGTATAAAGATAGTTAACAATGAAATTATTTTTATCACTTGTTAAGTATTTGCATAGATGCTGCATTAACCTTTATGGATCAGCCTGTAGTATGTCATTCCTACATTTCAGCTGGGAGGTAGTGTTTGGTTATAGCTCAAGTTCTTGCACTTAATTACAGCTGGAAGTGTTCTGTGCATATCCCAACTGTCTCTTTAGGGTATTCAACAGTAGTGGCATGAGTCTGAAGAAGTCAAAAGCTATCCAAGGGGCTACAGGAATAAGAAAACAGGCATAATAGAGCATGAATTCTGCAGGTAACAGTGCTTTGACTTCAGGAAATATGTAGACAGTGGGTGCATCCTAATTTGCAGTCATAAAAGTAAATTCTTCATCTTTCCAACCAATAATGCCACTACACTAGGCTTACACCTGGTTGCATGTGCTGCCACAGTATATTCAGATGCTGCTAGTGAGTGACAAGCCAAAGGAGTTGTTACCTGGAGATATTTTCTCCTGCTCTTATGGAGAAATGTCCCATTGGATTTAAAAGAAAATGCTAAACTGTGCAGTACTTTTGAGAATTGCTCTACAGCAAGTATGGCAATTATGCCCTTTTGCAGCGTGATTACACCTGGTAGTTCAGAAGTGCATATGATACTACATTTTATTAGATTACACTGGTTTTTGGAAGGAACTGACCAGCTGGTTTCTTGTATATAAGAATCCTTGGCATTTTTTCTGCGAATGGCAGCCTTATTGTCTCAGTTACCAACCTGCTGAAATGCTGAGAAGCAAAACAAGAGCTAGTTAGAGAAGCTCTAACTTACTTGGAAACTATCAGCATTTGTTTACTGACTCTCAAACTCATCCGACTCCCTGTGTCCAGCCCTGTAATTCCTAACTGATGCTACTCCATTGGTCACCCAGACCATACACCCTTTTGGAGGTAAGGAGTGGATAGCAGGTTCTTCCATCCTTTTCCTCTGCTCTTCTGGACACATCATGGTGTGGAGGAGACATCCTGCTTTGTCATCTCGTAGCAGCTTCTTTAGTGTATTTGTGTTCAAATCATACATTATTTCTTGTATGAAAGAAGATGGTAGCGATTCTACAGTGATAAAATATGTTTTGTGTGCAATTGTCAGAGTTAGGAAATGGATTATATGCTAAAACACCTCACAGATTAACTCCAGGGTTATCCCTTTGCCAGGTTTGATTCAGAGACAAGTGTGGACTGTTGTGCTTGTGTCTGCCCTCCATGAAGTTTCCACCTGCCAGGGAATCTCTAAAACCTGACAGCGTTCTCAATAGTGAATTTATCTTATGATTGCAGAAGAGATGTTTTGGGTCTACTTATGTATTCTTCTTAGCTCTTGAAACCAGGATGGGAAAGTTTCATGTTTGTGCCCAGTGGTGAGCAAACAGGGCTGCCGTTTTGTCACTAGAATGTGCAAAATGAGAACCCTAGAATTTGGTATTAGGACTATCAAAGTGTTTCTATTTTAGGAAGGCATCAGCATGCAGATGGTATTTGACCACATACTGTTCAGACAATCATGATTTTCCTTTTTTTCCTTGTTCTAGAAACAGTACATGTAATTCTTCAACCTTTGATGAATCTGAAGAGTGGCAACTTGCTCAAGATGCTGAGATATGCTTGTTGAAGTCAGGAGAAATCATGTAAGCAGAACAGTTTTGTTACTTCCAGGCTGAAAGAATAAAGGCTGAGATCAGATATCAGCTATGTGAGCACAACTCTTGCAGGCTCCTGGAAGAGCTGATCCCCTGTGTCCTACAGTTGAAGTTGATCTGAGGAGGATGAGAGAGTATAACTCAACTACACAGAGAAGCAGCAATGAGCCATGTCCTCTCTCTTTAGTCCTACAAGACTTTAGTGCAAGTGGAGAATGAGAAGGAAAGATGTAGGTCCACATCACATCAGAAAATCTTCCTTTCTTAGAAGGGAGGTACTGTAAATAGGAGGGGGGCTTAGAGGGCTCTGCAGTTCTAGCAGTCTCTGAAAGAGACTGCAGGGACAAGTCAGGCAGTGCAGTGCTGGTTGGACCTGTTTGCAGGCTGAAATAGATATCAGAATGAGGCCTGCTCATATAATGCTTTAGGACTTTAGCACCTAGATAATGCTTCATGTAGGTGCTAAGAACTTCCTTTTCAATTGGAAGTATTATGAGTCAGCTTTTTTACAGCTTGTGTGGGTAAAATAGACCACGATGTAGCATTAAATGCTTCTAAGGATCTAGACAGAGCTGCTATTCACATTTCATCCATCCATCCCCTCTGTACTCCTGATCCCCATTTCCTGTAATAATGATAGTTCGAAAGGTGAATAAATTAGGTAACTTATTTTTTGTTTACATTTTTGTTTAAAAAGAACAGTAGAGGGCAGCAAACTCCCTTTTTATTGTAGTGCCTCTAAAAGTCTATTCTAGCACTGGTTTTCTTTAGTCAAAATGAAATAAATAAGTTAACAAAATTCACATTTGCCAGAGCAGTGAAAGTTCTTAATATCAGTCAGCTTTTCTGTAGTTTTTGCCTTCCTCTAAGGCTGAATTTTCATGCATCTTGTGGACCTGTCCCAAGTATGCTGTGGAGTCTGCCCCAAATAAATGCAAAATTAAAAAAAGTGATAAGTGGGTTTGTCTGAGTAAGTGGACTGGATCTCTTCATTAATTGTATTTTTCTCACTCACAGGATCAAAATACCCCTTACAGTGGAAGAGATCATAAACTTTGGAGAGAGCAACAGAGAGCTGTTCATTAAATCCAGCACTTACAGTATCATTCCCATCACTGTTACAGAGATGGGGCTAACAATTAGCTGGATCTTTTCATCAGACCCCAAAAGCATATCCTTCAGTGTTGTCTACCAAGAATCTGAAGACACACCACTGGATCAGTGCAAAGTAAGAGCTTTGTTTCCTTACTGCCTTAGAGACTGTATGTCAGCTGCCTAAAGGAATCAGCAAGTATCACTATAGCTTCTACTGGTTGCATCTGAAATTCACCCACTATAATTAAACAAAACTGGAAGTTCCAAGCCTGCAAAGTTCTTTTTTTCCCCTTTTTCAGTCTTAGTTAATTTGTAAGCTCTTTAGGGGCAATTTGCCAGCTCTTGAGCGTGAGCCATAAGGAAACATAAATTGCTTAGGTTATCTACATTTCTTACAAAGCTTATGTGGTGTTTAAAATTGATTTGCCAGTGACCAAGGTACCAGTTTTTATATGTGCTGTCCATGTATCATGAGGATTATGGATTAAGTGAATGTATTTTACTCAAGTAATTGCAGAGTTTTACTGAAGACAAGGCAGCTGCTGGTTTAAGCCACCATGGTAGGGGGAACTCTACAGCTGTGATTTACTAGGGGAATAAGACATTTATATAGCATGTGTTAATTCACTCTGTGGTTACCAAGTCCATGTAAAATATCTCCTAATCTGAAAGCCAAATGAAGTGTGAATGTCGCTTTTGTCTTGATACATTTATTTGATATAACTTTTGAGTTTTATAGGGTCATTCTTGATCTATGTCAGCTGCTCTTCTGACAGCTGTGCTAGGGTTTTACAGGAAGACACATAGAATCAATCATAGATACACACACTTTTGCTGTAAGCTCGGATAATTAGGATTTGCTGAGAAAGCTTATTTTATAATACAGGGAGTATAAAAGCATATATGAAAAGATATATTTAGCTAAGTCTTGCTCTTCAATATATGCACTTAAGGTAGCACCAGCTGATGTTAGTAAAGTTGCTTAGATTAACATTTAAAAGATTCTGTCTCTAAAGCAGTGATTTATAGGTTATTGCTGTAAAGAGATTATCAGATGTCTCACTGTGAGATTTTAGTTTGGGTGAGGTTTTAATGCTCATCACTTAAAATAATTAGTTTTGCAGGCATATATGCACTCTGGGAGTTTCAAGATGGCTGAAGTCTAAATGCTTTTCTGAAGGCAAATGTCAATTTTTAAGGCAAATAGCAAGCTTCATTTTGATTTGTATTCAATTCCAGGTTCTTATCCCTATGACTCGCTGCAACTCTCATAAGGAAACTATCAGAGGACAGGTGAAAGTCAGAAACCCTGGAATCTACACACTGATATTTGACAACACATTCTCTAGGTAAGTCCTAGGTGGGTGTAAAAGGTGAAATAAGCTTTGTTTTAGAGACCGTGGAACTGATCAGATATATCATTATTCCTCCATTCAGAAGTAAGTATGAGAAACTGGCCAAGAGATCTTCAAGGTCGAGTTTTGGTTCTTGTTCTTGTTTGGGTTTTTCTGCCCCCACAGCAGAATTCCACTCTTCTGTCTCCACTTCTGGGAAGGTAAACAGAAGTAAGCAAGACAGTTTGGTCAGGATTGTCATCTTATTAACAGCCTTGCACAGGCAGACTTTTTTTTACAACAGTCAATTTTTTTACCTGAGTATAAACTGAAAGACTGAATACACTTTTAAGGCTTCTTGCCTAGTTCACTTCAGCTAACATGATCTTTTTGCTCTCTCTTCTTTCTTGACAGGTTTATCTCAAAAAGAGTATTTTATCACTTGGCTGTTGAGCGACCCGTCATCTATGATGGAAGTGATTTTCCATAGCCTTGACTATACTGTGTTATTTTTAATTAAATTTTTAAGAAATTATATTATTTATGTACATGTAAGCAGACTGATTACCACTGTGTTTGAAGACTCTGAAACTATGCAACAGTTATAATGCACTTAAGAAGAGATGTATACACTAAAAAATGGAAGCCTTTTCAGGAACACTAATGGTTCTGTACTGTGTACAGATTGCTGAAAAGCCAATGTTTGATTTAACAGGTCAATAATAATCAATTTTTTTTCAGTGGGGAGAAAAATAAGTGTGTGGGTGTCTAAATGCAAACTGAAATTCTCTGCCGAGTTACTGAATTATTTTGCTTCCAAAAATATCCTTCAAAAGGAAATTTAAAGAAAAAAGTCTATTTTTGACCTCTTCACTGAGGAGTAAACATAACCATTTCTGTTCTGCTGCTCTTACAGTCAGAACAGCAATTATGCAATACTTCAGCTTTCACAGGCATATATTGCAACACATCTAGAATTTTTTATCTTTTCCAAGTTTATAGACAGCAAACATAGGAGTTTTTTACGTTCTGGGCTAAGATTTGGTGAGCCTTAACTGGCTTTTACAAATGCTTTGTCACTACCAGTTACAAAACAGCACAACATGAAGCAGCAACTCCTTCCATTTCACTCACCATACTCTGTACGTCAATCCATTCTTACAGTGGGTACCAGTGGCAGAACAAGGAGTATCCTCTGTAAAGTACTGCTCACCGTGTGATATTAGGAAGAGGAAAATTCCTTTTTCCTGCCTTAGCACCTTAGTCATCAGCAGTCATAGGAAAGCACAGTTTCTGAGGACATCAGCAGTGTCTCTCTCTCGACCACGTGGAAGGCAGCAATAATGTTTGAACTGGTCTCAAAATGTCCATCCAAACAGAATGCGTGTCCAGGCCTGCTGAGCTCTCCACCCAGTGTTAGTGTATTTTCTCCCTTTCCTAACCCTTGCAGTTGCTGTATCCAACTGCTAACTTTCCATCTTGCATCTGGGGAAAGAGCTGGCTGTAAACACTGCCTCTTAAGGGAAGACAGGGTTCTCATTTATACAGAACTTCTACGCAAACCATCTGCTTTCTATGTAGAATTTTATCCTATTGTCAAAATATCTGAAAGCAGATTTTTTTTGGTTTTAAAATCCTGTCTTCTGATGGAATGGCAAAACATTTGGTAGGATAAAGGAGAAAAGCTCTTTCTCTCAGCCAGCCCCCTTCATTACTTTAGGTGTATCTGATTTCCCATGTCATTTTTCTCCCAAGGAAACCTCAGACCTGGAAGGTTTTAGTGCAACAGTTGGTAGAAGGCCAGCACAGCCTGTCAGGAACCCTGTAGAGATCTGGTGGCAGCTGTAGCTGATACACATGGGTCATGGTGAGAGACAGAAAGTAAAACATAATAGTAAAGAAGAAAAAGGGGCAAGCACCAGCTGAAGCAAATGGTTTAGGGGAGGGGAAAAGGTCAAACTTGTAAATATAAAAGCAAGGGCAAGGAATTAGAAGGATCAGCTTGACTAGGGAAGAAAGTCAGGAGAGTCCAGCTGGTGTTTATGTGTTGCTGGTCTAATCGATTACCCACAAGGGTTTTCTGACATCGAAAGACTGGTTGGTTGTTTAAAAGATGGAGATGAAAAAACAAGTGTTGGACATTTACTTAGTAGCAGCTGAGGTAAGAGGGAAATTTATGATCATAGGAAAGAAAATAATTGCAGATAAAGCTAAAGGTTGCTTATCATTTGTTCCAGTTGTTAACAATATATAAATGCAGTGATCTTGAAAAAGACTGTGGAAGAATAACTACTTTTCATGGAGCACCTAGAGTTTAGGTGTCTGGTTAATGGATGGTGTTCCCCTCCCTTCAGCTGCCTTCTTGCCCATACCAGTGGTGTGCCCCCCAGCCTCTGCTAGGCAGAGGGGGCAGTGCAAAGTACGAGCTGATTTACTCCTCCTCCTGAGGAGTACAGTGCAATTAAACCCTTACTCGGCTGTGTGCATGAAAATGAGATGGACAAGAGATGGACGTGGGCAATAAACAGGCCATAAATAGCACATGGATCGGTTCAGGAATTATGGCATATTTCAGTGTTGAAGCTACATTTTATATTTAATTAATCAAGAAGAGTTTATTTATTGCTTAAAAATGGAGTACTGTGTACCATATGCTATGCAATTTCACTGAGCTGTTACTGAAGTCTGCTGCAGTTTTCCTTTAAGCTTTTAGGTGTGGTTTTTAAAAGCATTTTGCTGTTCTTAGGTAGAATACTAATCTTACTGGGATATCTTTCTTAAAATGCCAAATGGAAGGTAAAGGGACACTGTCAAGTATCTTGGGCCAAAATATGACATCTCTGTTCAAAAGTATTTGAAGTCTCTCTATTCAAAATTATTTGACAGCCTTGCCTCTTCATTTCCTCTTCACATCCAGTTCTTAACACTTTTTTCATACTGTGGCAAATATTTTAAAGCCACTGTTTATGTAATTCTTCAAGTAATTGTCTCCATCTAGTAAGCTAGATGTTTCCCTGAAGGTCTTTCATGTTGACAGTCCTGAGACTGGCTAAAGCATATTTTTGGAAGGAGGGGAATAAAACCCCTGGATTGTTTTCATTTAGCATTTGAGTCTTTATGGTACCTTCTCTTCAAGTTTTCCTATCTCTTGAGAGTAGTTTTATGCATTTTTTTTTTCTCTCTGAAAGAGGACTAAGAGTGAAAGCCAGAACCCGTAGTTTAAAGATCAAAAGGTTTGCTCCTAACCAAGGAGAGTGTTTAAGGAGAAGAAGTTTCAAATGATGAAATACTCAGGATGTTAAGGTACAGGAGTGCAGCTGGTCAACAACAAGAATCCCATCGTACTAGCGAGAAGAGGCTGTGCAGAGAAGATAGTAAACAACATGACATTAGTACTGACCTTTTGTTTGAATGCCACTGACAGTTTATTACTGGAGCCATGGAAACCCAGTGAAGGACTTCACAAAAGTGCAGGTTTGTGCAAGAGATTATTTCATTCAAGCACCTTATACCTCCATTGATAAAGCATTTGTTCATGTGAGCTGTGCCAGTGATGCTGAAAAGTGTGTTTATTTACAGGTGCTCAGGTGATTTGTTGAATTGGGCTTTTTAATTTGTTAATTGCAGGAATGCAACTAAGAGAAAAAGAAATATTTAAAATTGATCATGAAGTTAATTGAAGGGGTGTCTCACTCCTAGGACAAAGAGGTTATATACTGCAGTCAGCATAAGCAATTGGATGATTTTCCTGGGTACTGGAAAGGGTAAGGTTTGGAGGGTGAGATTTTTTTGTTATGCAGAGGTTTATGTGAAGGAAATAATGTAGTTTCTTTAAGAAAATGACAGTGTTCCTTTACTCAGTGTTTCTTAATGACAAATGACAGAGATGTATTGCACGAGAACGTACCATGTTACAAAATAGCAAAGCTACAAAAGCCTGACTTTGCTCCTTCCTCAAAATTGAAATTGCACTATAGTTTTAATCATGCTAAATCACTGAGGTTGTAACTTGTTCAGAAGCATCTTTTGGTCTTAACTGCCAAAGAATTGCAAACCCTGTTCACATCAAACTTCCTGCTCCAGATATGGGAAAAATTATGTATACCAGTGTCTGTACAGTTACAGAGATGTAGACGGTTGTGTACTGGAATGTTTCTTGATGCTTTTTTTTCCCTTTTTTAACCTCAGGAATTAAAAAATAAAATTCTTTATCGTTGTGAATGTGTGTCCCTTTCCTGCCTTGTAGAGATAGCTTTGTGCGGAAGATAAATCTGATGATTGTATGGTCTACTTCTGAGCCGGAAAAGCTTTTACAAAATAAGGAAAATAGAAAACAGATTTTCAACCATTTGACAAGTAGTGGCGAAAGGCCACATCTGTACAGCACAACAGAGGAACAGTGGAGATCCTTAAGGGGTAAGTGAGCCGGTCCTCAGAGATAGTACAGTCCCTGACAGTGAGCAGCATGGTCCTTCGGCTTAGGGCTCCCATCTGGTTTTCCCCAGGTCCCAGCTGGGTCTGTGTGCCCGGGTTATGTGGTGTGGCAGCGAGAGGCCAAGAAGTGCTGTGTGAGTCACAGTCACTCGTTGGGTGTCACCTCAGTGTTTGCATCCGTAATCCCAGCCCTGGTACACGTGGTAAACACACAGGCTCACCTGAGCTGCTGGGGCCATCCGGATGGGTCAGGAGGACAGCAGGCCCCATCACCACCAGTTGTTGCTATTTCTGTTTCCTCACAGGAGTTTGCTGCTGGTGTGGAGGCTGCGATGCTTCCTGTCCCCACACTCCAGCAGGAATATACGTGACATGTTTCAGACTGATTTGTGTTTGTGAAATCTTCCTTCTTCTTCCCATCTTCCTCAAGCTTTGTTTTTATTACTTGTTTATTAAGTTAAAATATGGAATTCAAGGTTATCCTCATTTTGTGCCATCCCTCATTTCAAAGCTACAATTACAAACAGAAGTCTCAGAGAATCTCCAGGAGTATCTCCACAGGATGACACAAAGCAGCCTTTTATTTTCAAAGACAAGGTGAAGAATTTAGATACTGCATGCGTCTTAGGAATATTCCTGATTTTGCTTAAGTCTAGAGTTATCTTGCTCTGCAGAAACATCAGAGAGGGAAATTCATGCTGTTGCCTGGTAGTGCACATTGTCCCTTTATCCCTGCTGGAGTGATAAAGTCCCAGCTCCACACTCAGAAGCTTCTCTCTAGGCCAGGGTCTCCAGCAAAGCCTAATCTGGAGTACAAGGGATCTGCCAAGACTAAGTTTTACAAATACACGATACACGTGTAAGTGCCTACACCTTGCTGTACATCAGCTCTGCAGGGCAGGCTGTAGCCGTTGAAAACCCTTGTGCACATTTCCAATAATCCATTTTTATCCATACTGATTACTGCCTCCCTTCCTTGGTGCTAGGGGCAAGACCCTCCCGACCCCACTTCTGCCTTATATTTCTATTTTGCTGTGAGGAACATGTGAAGCTGCCACAAGACAGCAGTACCCTCTGCATTAGTCCTTGAAGTGTCATGGGGATGCTTTGAAAGATAACGTACAAGATAAGGTTTAAAAACATATGGCCCAGGAGACTTGGAAAAATCAGGCAGCACTTGAAGGCACGGGGCACCACCATATCTGTTCAGTTAAATAAAGGGTGATGGATTCAAAGCATACTTGGGTCCATCATACTGAACTCAGACCAATGGCTGACTTAATTTTTCATCACTTGAGTGACGATTGAAGCATTAATTGCCTTACTCTCACATTCTTCCATCACTTCCCTCTTCTCTGGAAGAGGTGCTTTTGTTAAGCATGTCTGTTTCGGGCAGGAGCAGTCATCAGGTAGGCAGGTTTGCCTGTGGAGAGTGAAAGTTTCTTATTGGCTCTCCCAGCTTCCTCTCCCTGTACCACAAGCAGCGGGGTGCTGTGCTACGTGACTGCCTGCACCGCAGTCCCCGGGTGACAACACTTAGGGCAGACAGAGTCAAGCTGCTCCTTTAAAGAAAAGCGACAGCAGAGGAGACTACAACCCAAAACTGGGGACATCTATGAAAAAACATCTTTAAAAAGGAGAGAGGGGAACCAAGGCATGGAAGATCTCAGGCCTCTCCCAACAATTGCTTAGTGACCATCCTGCTAGAGCTGTGGGTAAGGCATGAGCAGTGTCCCACAGGAGGTGTGAGGGGACAGGGGCAGGAAAGGCAACACCCTTTGCCTTCAGGGAAAACTCCCCTCCTGGAAAATGTATCAGCTGAAAACTGGGGACAGGCTAGTGAGGCATGAGAGTGATTTTGGTAGGATAAATTTAACTAAAACATCAGGGCAGAGGGACACAGGAGCCCCAGGAAGGCTTGACTACAAAGAGCTATCATGCTGGCAGATGGAGGCCTCCAGCAGATGGAAGAGGAGGTAATGACAGCAAACATTTCCATGACTGAGTCCCTGCTCTGTGGTGGCCAGCAACAAGGGACCCCACCAGCAACGAGGCTACAGCCAGAGGGCCCGTAGGTAGGCAGCTTTCCTGCGAATACATGTGGCACCAACAGCCTCGGAAGCCACCAGCAGCTGCTGGACTGCAGGCAGCTGTGGTGGAACAAGCTCGATGAGGGAAAACCCACCCCAGAGGGGCTGGGCCCCCAGCTCCCCCTGGCAAAGTGGCAGGGAGCAGCCTGATTCAGAGCAGGATGTGCATGACCCAGGGATGACCCCGTCACCCCAAACCACTCCAATTTCACTGTCGCTTCACCACCCTCAGCAGTTTCACTCGCTGATCAAGCATGAATATTTCCCATGGCGTTTTGGGGAGTGAAAAACCTTTTATCTCCTCTGAGAAGGCCACAAAATAAAAGTTCCCAGGGCTGGTGAGATGCTATGCAGGGAACAGGAGCTTGAGGCCCCCAGACAAGACCAGAGGTTGGCAGCCCCTAAGGTTTGCACACTTGTTTGTTTGCATAACTTGAGGGCTCTTTTGGAGCCAGGAGCAACCTCTGGCTAGGAGCACCCTAGAACCCAGCCATAGGAAGCGCTGCTATGGGAAAGCATCCGCTCCCAGTGTGCTCCCTCCTCCCCTGCCCTCAAAAACCTGCCTTCCCTCCCGAAACTCCACCCTACCCCTCGCCTCAGAAGCCTAAACCTGCTGGTGCCTGTGGAGTTCTCAGCTGCACCCCAAGGGTTAGATATGTGAAGTAAATGCTGTTAGCAAAGCTTTCCTGTGGCCTTTTTTGAGACAGGTAAATCCTGTCATTGGAAATAGGTCATGTATATGGATCCAAACCTGGGAAGGACGTGTGGGCAAGAAACAACCAGTTCATCATCTCAGGATATGTGACAGTGCCTTTGTTTAGCAGAATTTCAGCTTCTTTTTGCTGAATACAGATTGCAAAACCCCCCAAAACGCTTCTTGCCCATATAGTAAAAGATATATACATCTTAGACCATTTTTTTTTCCTAAGGAAAAGGTAAAAAAATATTTTAAAGTCCAATAAATGTATATAGAACTAGAACCCCATCTGCTTAGATGTACCCTATTAGCTAGAAAAGCAGTGCCAAACAACACAGAAAGCTTGTGTTTATCAACACTCTTTAATGATAAATGCACAATGAAACCACTTTTTACCTGAAAGAAATAATTAACCAGAAGGCAAACTAGGTTAAACGAGATTATTTAAAACAAAACCTCCTGAGCACCATGACTTGATATTGAAGACTGGGAAGTGGAGGCTGCAGTCAGGCAGGACAGGCCATGCCACGTCCCTGCAAGGGGCAGTGGACACTCGATGTCCTGTGGCCTCAGGCACTGTTACAACACCAACACCAGCACCCTGAATGTCCTATAGAAGTTGTGGGGTGCATTACAGCACATCACTTTTGGGAACTGCTGCCTCTGCCGACCTGAAGTCTCATTCTAAATGCCATTAAATCTGACACTTAATAGTGCTCTGTCTTACTGGCACCAGGCTAAATATATTTTGTCACTGTTAGCAAAGATACCAGCGCATAACCGGCAGTCAGCTGAACCACGGGTTTGGGTTTTGTGTTCTGGTTTACTACAGCTTTGCACCATTCAGAACATACCCCTGGGACAGATAATGCAATGTCTCTGATACCCTTGAATTTTTACTGTGAGGTGTGATTTGTTTCCAGTACCAAAGTAGGAGCCATAGCATAACTTGTACCCAATTTCACCTGATATCACACAGCTAAACTACTGGAGAAAGGCAGATCAAATTCTGCAATGACCACTTTATGAACACAGACAACTGGCTTTTCTTTGCAAGAAGACACACCTGAGCAGCCAAAAAGAGTTGCATTTGCCCAGGCACAGAGAGCAGCATTTGCCCACTGCAATAAACCAGTGTTGAGCTAAAGGCCATTCCCCTTTACAGGGGAGAGGATCTGGTATAGAAGTCTGGCAGGGCACCAGAGTCTGGCCACTTCCACAGGAGACCCTGGCACCACAGCAAATGAAGGCTGAACCCCCTCCAGCTGCTTCCCACGGGCAGGATGAGTGGTTCATCCTGCTTTATCTGCCTCTGTTGCTGCCATAACTAGGTTTATCACCTCCCTGTAAGACTTGTTATTTCAGGCTGTGGTCTGAGCTGCAGATGGGCCAGCTATTTACAGCTGTCACAAAGATAGCTTTTGTCCTCTGTCAGTTCTGCTCATGGCAAGCATGGTTCCACTTTGCTGCCCTCTGCCAAAGGTTTCCTATCCTTTCAGCGAGCAACACTCGGTTGGGTCGCACACGTCAAGGACGAGGCCACCAACCCTTTCTGCTCCTCTGGGACAGTCTTTGAGTACACAGGTGGTTTCCAAAGAGTTTCGTGTTCCTCTGGAGAGGAGAGAGTAAGGACTAACTTACAAGAGGACTTTGCAAGGAGGGGATATAACAGAGGAGGTCAAGTGAGTGCTAAGGATCAGGGAGTTCCTCACCCGCTGCCTCCCCAGCATGCCAATGGACCAGTTTGAGCTGTGCTCCTGGCTGTCGCAGGCAGGGGAGAACTGCTTTTGGTCCCTGCTTCGGCAGCAGCCACTGCTTTGCACCATCCTGCCCAGCGCCATCCTGAAGCGCTGACCAGCAAAGGCGTAGAGGAAGGGGTTGAGGCAGCTGTGGAGGAAGGCGATGCTCTGGGTGACCTGCAGCCCGATGTCCAGCCGGTCGGCAGCCTGACAGCTGTACACTGCCCCGGTGTAGGTGCTGATGGCTTTGACCAGCAAAACAATATTGTAGGGGAACTGAGAGAGGAGGAAAGCCGTGATGATCATGGTGATGATCTTCAGCGACTTCTGTTTTTGGGATCTTTTGGCTTGTAGGAGGGTCTTGATGATGAGGGCATAACAAATAACCATGACAAGGAGCGGGAAGAAGAACCCAATTGTGACTTTCAAGACCAGGACAGTAACCCTGAAGATCCTGCTGACGTTCGGGGGGTATGTAATTTTGCAAACTGTTATGTCACCCACCTGCATGGTTTGGCTGTATATGATTTCTGGGATGCACAGGCCCATCGCTGTCAGCCAGACAGCCAAGCACATGAGGTTGCTGCGCAGGAGCCACCTTCGCTTAGAAGTTTTAGCTTTCATCGCCTGGACAATAGTGATGTACCTGTCAAAGCTGATGCAGGTCAGAAGCAAGCTGCAGCCATAGAAGTTGATCTTATACATACTGTTGACGGCTTTGCACATGAAGCCCTTGAAGATCCAGCCACCAGAAGCAGCCTTGGCCCAGAAAGGGAGGGTGAAAAGGAGCAGCAGGTCTGCAATGGCCAGGTGCAGCAGGTACCGATCCATCATGCTTCTCCTGAAGTGGTATTTGCAATAGACAAGCACGACCAAGGCATTTCCCACTGTGCCCACAGTGAAGATAAACCAGAAAAACACAGGCAGGAAGGCTTGAGAGAACTGCCTGACCTGCCCCTTGTCGCACATAAAGTCTGTGTTGTTCACTGGGTTTCCACACAGGAACAGCACCGTGCTGTCGTTCCTGTAGTAATCCAGACTGGTCTTGCCAGGGAGGGTGACCTGCAATAGCACATCTGGTAAATTTGTGTTGAGAGGCCCAGCAAAGCATGCATTTGCCCCTCTCCACCAGATGCATTTGACAATGCCCAACATATTCAATTTAAATGGGAAAGTGCAAAGGCTGCCAGGGAAACAGTGCGTTTCAGACTGCTTGAAGCGTTCAGCACAGCAGAGACTTGTAAAAAAGACCCACTGAATAAACCCACTCTTTACAAAAGAGCAGTTCACCACCTCCAGCCAACTTCAGTTATTACAATGGCAGGTGGTGAAAGCATTTTCTCTGTCAGATCATTCAAAACATGGTTGTATTAGCAACCAATACATAATAAAATACATAACAAATACCTAACAAAATGCAAAATGCCCAACTTGGAAAGAGGTGGGGAAGAAGGCTTCATTTTACTGCTACAGTGGAATGGGACCACTGGTTTGGAAGAGGCATAAAAGTAATGGAGGAAAAGAGGGGGGAGAGGGAAAGAGTGATGAACAGTAACATAGCTGTATACTCACTATGCTTGCAGCTGCCATCTTCAGACAGATCGTTACTCAGTCTTGAAGGAGGCCCCGTAGCCTGGAGAGGATAGATGAAGGAAAACAACTGATTTAGAACAGCTCTGAAGCAGGACTGTGACTTTTTTCTTTCTTCCTCTTCTTCTTCTACCTTAATAAAAACCTCAAGTCTGTGAAACAACTCTGGCCGGAAGGTGAACAAACCACACAGAAATTGATGTTACTGATTTGAATTATTTAGCTATTTCCATTTTACAGATTTACATTTATCCTTCTTTAGGTCTTCAACTTCTCTATGGCACTGTGCTGATTAAGTCCTTTGATGTACTACAGTCACTGCAATCTCATTTTTAACAAGCTGTAGACTCCCCAGTGTGCACATGTAAGAAGGGAGCAATCTGAAAGCACCATATCTTCAAAAAGATTCAGGAGAAAAAAATAAAATGTGCCTCTTAAATATTTAGCAACTAATAAGGAAAAGCACCTGCCTCTAAGGTGGCTTGCAATCTTAAATATTTGCATCCTCTGCAGCAACTGATTAACCTCTGCTTGCAACTTCTCTTTCTCAACTGTGACCCTGAGGTTAGCTCAGTTGGTTAAAGCGTGATGCTAATAATGGCAGGGTTTGGGATTTGACTGCTGTATGGGCCTTTCACTTAAGAGCTGGACTCGATGATCCATGTGTGTCCCTTCCAACTCAGAATATTCTGAGATTCTGAGTTTAGGCACAGGGCTCATTGCTGTGGGCTTGGGAAACCTAAGCCTCAGTAAACAAGTAAATACTGGGTTTTTATGCTGCAGATTACTTTTCTAATCAGTCTACCATCACAAAAGGTAGCTGAGCTTTGCAGGCTTGATGTCAAACACAAGCACCCAAGTATTCACCATGTTCTGCACCAGCCCGTCTGTGATAGTACCTGGGGATGAAGCCTGGTGATACTGAGGACCTTCAAATAGCACAGTCCTTCCCTCCAGAACCCTTCAAAAGCAGGTCGTGTAACAAACCAGAAGTTCGCCGCCTTGCAGAGCCAAACCTCTCGCCACAGCAGAAGCCAGACAGAGCCGAACCTTCTCCATGGAGAAATGGCCCATGTTCATGCTCTGGCTTCCCTCTGGCTGCTTGTTGCCTGTTGAGTAAAAGCCCCTGTGACTGTGGCTGGCACAGGCGGTCAGTGAGCTGCTGATTTCTCCCCATACCCACTTCTAACATGTCGTAGCATCTGCTGAAGAGTGCAGAGCTGTGCATCCCCAGGGGGCTTTTTAATGTCATTTTATTTTAGCTGTCAGACCTACCCTAAATTGCAGTTGAAAAGATCATTGTAATGGGGTCAGTTGAGTGGCAAAAAAAAAAAAGGTGACTGGAATTCTGTTTCCTTTCCACAGAGGTTGACCGTGGGAAAGACAGACATAAACAGTGGAGGAGGTGGGGGACTCCCTCGTGAAGACAGTCTGAGCGAGTTGGGGCTGTTCAGCTGGGAGAAGGGAGGGTTGTGTGGAGGCCTCACAGCAACCTTCCAGTATCTGAAGGGGGCCTACAGGGAAGTGGGAGGGGTACTCTTCGTCAGGAACTGTAGTGACAGCACAAGGAGTAACGTGTACAAATTGAAAGAGGGGAAATTTAGGCTGGAAGAATTTTTTTTACTGTAAGGGTGGTGAGATACTGGAAGAGGTTGCCCAGGGAGCTTGTGGATGCCCCAACCCTGGCACTGTTCAAGGCTAGGTTGAAAAAGGCCATGAAACCTGGTCTAGCAGAAAGTGTCCCTGCCCATGGCAGGGGGAGGTGGGACTAGATAATCTTTAAGGTCCCTTCCAATCCTTAATATTCTATGAGTCTATGACTCACCGGGACAGTCGCTGCAGGGGCAGGGGGGGCAGCCTGGACGTGGTGCCCAGCAGCCACAGCTCTGCATGTTTGCTCTTTAAACCTATAATTAACCTTTGGGCTTTTTGTAGGCTGAGCTGGGTGTGTGCTCCTGGGACCCCAGCCTGATTAGACCTGTCACAGACTGTTTACTCTGTGGTTTGCACAGCTTATGTGGCTCAAACACAGATGGCAGTCTCCTTTCTTTTTTTTTTTTTTTTTTCTTTTTTTCCTGGTAAGCTCTTTCAATAGCAAAAGGACAACGTCCCATACCATCATTTTTCTGCTCATGTGCATCATCTAGCCCAGGGCAAATCAGAGGCTGCTCCCAGGCTGTGTCCTGCTGCAAAACACTTTCACTGGAGGAAAAAAAAGAATGCTGGAACAAAAAATGAGTCTCTCTGGGCAGCCACCAGTGTGCCCTGCGGAAGCTGCAACAGAAAAGAGGGTCTTGTCCTACCCACTTCAGGCTGACCTACAGGCACAGCTTCCCATTGCTGCACACCAAGGCTGCAAGCAAGCAGGAGCCAGGGTAGCAGGAACTGCACCATGCCTCACAAAAACTGGTGGTTTGCAAGCAACAGCAAAATGGAGCAAAACGAAAGCACACTGCTTTCAAGAGGAAAGGCCAGGCTATTCCTGCTGCAGAAAGTGGAGAGACCCAGGACAGGACTGCAGATAGTCACATAAAGTTCCTGCTGGTGAAAACCATCCAGAAGAGAGACAGGAAAGATTTTGAAGAGGAAGGCAGTGAGAAGTGGTTAATAAATACATGAAGTCGTACGTCTTATTTCTTCTTCCTGGTAAGCTGGCATGCAAATTATTCTGATTTAAGTTCCTCTCTTTGCAGGAAGTCCAAGCACCACGAGGTTTTGCTTTAATGATGTTGTTCAGCTGTGACTGATGCTCGTTCGACTCACACTTCAAGGAAATTTTCAAATTGCAGTTCAGGCTCAGTTTCACTTCTGGAGAAAACAATTATTTGGGTTAGGTTTTGGGTTGAGCTCCACCGTTACTTGGCACCATGCTCCAGTGTCAACAGCGTGGCATCTCCTTCCAAAGGGAAAGTCGCTCCACACTCCACCACTAACGTGTCTGCATATCTTTAATACTTAGTTGTCACCCTGAAACTCTTCCTGAAACAGGTGTAGGTTTGTATGTGATGATACCTCCATAACACACTTGGCCTCTGTCACATCCTGGGCCCTTCCAGTAGAAAAACAGAAGTGGGGAAGTAGTGTCAGCTAAACTCCAGGGTATCTGCTAAGGAAAGCACAGGTATAGTTTCTGGGATCAGGTACAAGTTACTCTGGGCTGGCAAATGGCTGCCTGACAGTGGATCTATGGTAATTATTCCTAATCCAAGCTAGTTTGGCCCCTGGTGTAATGCAAGCTGATTCAGCATTGGGAGAGCTACATTAACTTCAGTAGTGTAAAGGCATGCCCATGGGCAAAGCCTCTGATGCAAAGGATCTTCACATCCTTTGGTCTCTCCTTCAAGAATCTGAGCCCTCATGTTCAGGATTTAAGTGACTTTAATCGGACTTAATTTAATTCTCCCTAGAAGCAAAGTAAAAATATTATCGGATCCCACCACTTCACACAGCCATTTCCACTGTATTAAAAGTCCCTGGAGCAGATAAATGTCCAGATCAGAGTAGAGGGAGCTTCTCATCTTGTTCATTAGTTTTCTGTAAAATGCCATTTGTTAACTGAGTGTTGCTGACAGCAGCAGCTTTTTTGCCCCTGAGGGTGAGAAAGGAAGCAGAACAGTGTGAACGTTTGTCCATTTGCCAAATTTCTTCCGAACTTGCTTCTTATTTGTACCTTCACTCAGTGCCATGCACAGTTAGCTCCTTTCAAACAAAAACTGAGACAGTGTGGTCAGTTCTTGCAATACCAGCATGCATCATGAGATAACTTGGGATTTCCCTTCAGCTTATGTCATTACAAAACTCGGCATCTCTCTTCTTCTTACAAATATGTTGCTTTCATGTTCACCAAGAGAACTTGAAAGTGTAACACATTTTTCTTTGTTAATTTAAAGTAAGCAGGAAAATTAAACCCACCAGCATTTCTTAAATGTCTTCTTTTTAAATTCGGAGTGCTTAATATTAAGCACAACTTGGGATGGATTTTAAAGCTCCTCGTTTATTGTGTTTACTAATGGCAGAGATGTAACCAGTTTGATGTGCTGATCAGGTTCTGGAAAGATTTTGCAGAAACAGAACAAAACTTGCAATTATACCCTCTGCTGAGGCTGACCAAGAAGTTTTCTTTTGTCATAGTGAAAACTGCACTGTGTTTACATTAAATCTGACTTTTAATATATCTATTTTCCACTCCTCAGTTAAGAGGACATTAATCTGCTTCTTTCCAAGAAGGCTATATTTGAGGTTCAGCAACTCCTCAGACGGTCAGCTGAGGAGAGGCTGTGGCTGCAATTCACTGTCCTCTATGAGCAGGATATTTTAAAGACCACAAGATTACAGAATGAGTTGAAAGGGACTTACAAGAATCATCAAGTCCAGCTCTTAAGTGAATGGCCTGTACAGGGATTGAACCAACAACCTTGGCATTATTAGCACCATGCTCTGACCAACCGAGCTAAATCAGTGAGACCTGTGCCTCTGACTGCCAGGTTAGTGCTTATGTAAACTACACACAGGGATTCCTGGGAATTTCCATGCCAAGCAAACAAAACAGCATTCTTATTCCCATT